AAAATATGAACAGGTCTCTGATTTGATTGGGCGTACCTTACATGCATGATTATTATAACCTTAAAATAAGGATATATTTCTGCTTGTCCATTAAAATATTTCTCTAGCAAAGAGTACATTGCTTCCCACATGGATCCTCCTGCACTCACGTTTGCCTTGAGGTTCTTGTGCCACAAGGTCTTTAATTCGCAAAAGGCAAAATATGAATAAGAGGTGATGTTAACAGCCTTAAACTGGCTGAGACTGCAATGCACATGCATGAACAGAACTGCAGGTTTCATGGCAAGCTGCAAGAGCGGAGCGAACAGAGGAAAGCTGATCCTGCAGCAAGACATGGGATGACATGGTGAAATGTGAGAGCCACTCTTACTATTGACTGATTATTGTGTCTGTGGGGGGAGAACAGGATGATAAAAACACTTCACAATCTTCAAGATGAAGATGTGAACTGGAGTGGCTGTTGGTGTTTCTTTGTGCTGCTGTTGGTTGAGGAAGCAGAGAGGAGCTACAGTAGGGCGCTCCTCTAGGGTTTATTGTGGCTCATAATCAGGGAAGCATCCGGCCGGACAGAGCGCCTCAGACCTGGAGCCTCTACAGTATATATGTGACCACACTGAGGCACGAGCCCTGTGAGGGGAAGGAAGGAAGGAAGGAAGCTGCTGGGCTGGCACGAGGAGTCCAGCATGCAAATTTGACCATTAAAATTCCCATCAATGTTGATCCTGCACACTTTAAAGGGGGCAAACCAGCTGATAAACCATCATATTTATGAATTAAGATGGAAGTTGAAAACATTTATAGGAGTCTGGATGATAAAACATTAAAAGGTATCAAACATCACCACATAGGAATGCAATAAATCACATTTCCACCCTCCTCTGACCCATCTTAGTCCACAATCTGAGCCTCAGTCAAACTAACAAAGCCTCCCTCGGACACATCCAACATTACGTCTCCCCCAGACCCACACGCACATGCTGAACAGACAAACCCCGAGCAGTAAATTCATTAAAATCAGCAGACAATCCGGCTGACAAAAACGCGTTTCTGCTCATTTCTGCAGCAGAGCGCACCAACAAAAGCTCAACATCCATACCTTCTCCTCTAAAACAGCCGAACCGTCCCGATGATTAAAGGAGCAAATTCTCACACATTCACATCCCAGCACAGTCCAGACGTCCGACAGACCGACACACCGACCGTCAGCAGCCTCCGGTTGGTTTTAATAAAGCGCGAGGCGCAGCGGAGACAGAGGAGGCTCAGTGTGGACGGACGCATCTCTGCTGCAAACGGATCAAAATGTTGCTGCTCCACAATCCAAGAAAGACAAAAAACAAGAGACTCACCGATGTGTGTTTGGCACCCGACGACGGTGTTTTGTTTATTTCATTTCCCCCCGCGGAGCAGCTGGGTGAAGTGGTGCGTCACTGACTTCCGCGTTAAGATGGAGTGAAAAAAAAAAAAACACGCAGAGAGAAAATAATGAATTTAAAGGACAGGCGGCGCACGAGGGCGCGCCGAGGGCTGAGCGAGGATGAAGCTAATGAAGAAGGGATGAAGAGAGGAGGATGTGGGTACAGAGATGACGGTGGAAAATGTAGTTTATTATAAAGATGAGGAAGATAGAAAAACAATGGAGCAGTTAGAGATTCACAAATTAGCAATGAATTAATCAATTACTCTTACTTGAGATGGTGCCAAATCACAACAAATGAGGCTTTATTAGAAGAACAAACTCTGTTTTATAATCTGCAAAAAATAAACACCAAAATAAAATCCAGTTTTATTGTTTTAAAGCTCCAGAGAGGAAAAAGTAGCAGCTTTTGACACAGACTGATATTTGTATTCAATCATTTTTTTTAATCTATAAATCGCCAAATGACAACAGTCTTCACCCCATGACACATTGGGAGTCTCTTCATAACGAGAGAACAACAAACAACCATTAAAAACAGAAGTGACTCAGCAGAGACCACTTTGTCCACAGGGGGGCACCAAAATCAACCCAAACCGAAAGTTCCTCATATGAGCCACAAGGTTAGCCTTTGAGGGATATTGAGATTTAAAATGTATTTAGGGTCAAACACACCGAGTTAGGCACCCCCTCGAGAGATGAATGTTGCCGACTGCTTGCTTCTCTAGTTCTACCAACTTTAGTAACGACCGCAGGATAGTAATACACAACGGTCTGAGGAGACATAAACAAACCTCGACCAAAACGCCACTCTATAGCCACAAATAATGCTCAGAACAGCACCTAACTTTATCAACAGGACATATACGGTCCCAGCCATAGTACTAGACAACAAACATCTTTTTAACTTTGACTAATTTCTTTAGCAAAGAGACTAAACACAACTCACCTACTCTCTTCCAGCAGCTGCTTGTTTGTAGGAGACCTCAGGCCAGTCCATTACGGTCTACAGCGGGGTGACGCAGCTCAAGGAAGAACATTTATGATCATTACTTTATAATTTCCTTGAAGTAATAATCACCATATTAATCATTTTGCACTGCAGACACAGTAGTTCTTCTGTCTTAGCATCTCGGTCTGATTGTATTTCCATGAAGAAATGATCATAAATGTTCTTCCTTGAGCTGCGTCACACCGCTGTAGTCCATAATAGACTGGCCCGAGGTCTCGCTACAAACAAGCGGCTGCTGGAAGAGAGTAGGTGAGTTGTGTTTGGTCTCTTTGCTAAAGAAATTTGTCAAAGTTAAAAAGATGTTTGGTGGCTAGTACTATGTCTGGGACCCTATATTTACAATTGATGAAGTTAGGTGCTGTTCTGAGCATTGTTTGTGGCTATAGAGTGGCGTTTTGGTTGAGGTTTGTTGTTTGTAGTTGGTATAACTAGAGAAGCAAGCGGTCGGCAACATTCATCTCTCAAGGAGGGGTCTAACTTTGCGTTATGGTGTGTTTGACCCTAAATTAATTTTATACCGGAACATTCCTTTAACCCACCTTTAAAACTGTTCTCAATGATAACAAACATGGGCTGTATGAAACATGAATGGAGCCGCAGGGAGAAATTAGATAATAAATCAAGATGTTGAGAGAAAAAATTCCTTAAAAAAATTATTTGTCTGTAAGAGTAAAACTGAGTAAACTAAATCTATAGATATAGATGTTAACTCTACTCTGCTGAAAGAAAAAGCAAATATTGTGTTTGTCTTCACCAGATGGATGCATCAAAAATCACCTCCAAGTTAAACTTGCTCTGAATGATTAACAGCGAACAAATCGTTATATGGCTGGTTTGTCTTATAAAACTCTTTATTTCAGCCTCTGTTTGAAATGGCTGTGTGTTCTGACTGTACTCCAGTTTGGAAAAGGACAAAAAATCCTCAGTAACAAAAACAGAGCGAGATGTTCCTCAGTAATTATTAGGTTAGATGTTCTCTTACCAATTAGTGATGTCATGAATTGATCAAATCTTATGTGGACTATATAGAGGTAAGATAAGATAAGATGGGTTAAGTTAAGTTTAGTTTAGTTGAGTTGAGTTGAGCTGAGTTTAGTTAAGATAAGATAAGTTGAGTTGAGTTGAGTTGAATTGAGTTGAGATGAGATGAGATAAGATAGGATGAGTTAAGATAAGTTAAGTTAGTTTAAGATAAATTAGGATAAGATACGTTGAGTTGAGTTGAGATGAGATAAGTTAAGTTAGTTTAAGATAAGATAAGTTAAGATAAGATAAGTTATCTTAAGATAAGATAAGTTGATATGAGTTGAGATTAGATAAGTGAAGTTAAGTTAAGATAAGTTGATATGAGTTGCGATGAGATAAGTTAAGATAAGTTGAGTTGAGTTTGGTTGGGTTGAGTTGAGATGAGATGAGTCAAGTTAAGATAAGATAAGTTAAGTTAAGTTAAGTTAAGTTAAGTTATCTTAAGATAAGATAAGTTGATATGTGTTGAGTTGAGGTGAGGTGAGATGAGATAAGATGAGATATGATATGAGTTGAGTTGAGTTGAGTTGAGATGAGATAAGATGAGATGTGATAAGTTAAGTTAATATAAGTTAAGTCAAGATAAGATAAGAAATCTTGCACCCCCTTGAGCTTTATTGCCAAGCTACTTCTTCTGCTTCCCAGAAGACGGCTTGTTGCACAATGAAGAAGATTTAAAGAAAAAGTGTCACTTTTGGGAAACAACCTGGATCCACCTTCTTCTTAGTCAGAAGACTAAAAATACTCTTTAACTCATGATATTTTCCTTGTAAATTAATAAACTTTGCTCCTATGATGTAGAAACTCAACCAAGAAGCACATTTGAAACCCATTCATCGGTACCTTTAGAGTAAAAAGTGGTTTTTCACAACTTTTCTAACTTATAAAGACAAAGAAGCTCCTCTATGTCAGACTTGCCAGAAGCTTCTAGAAATCATTGCCCAGAAAACAGCTCCAGTCTGCTAAACTGTATTGATATATTCTGTTGCATCAGTCATTACTCACAGTATGAAAGGCTTACAGTGTACTGCAGGCCCATCCTGACTGGAGTGAATCACATAATGTACTGTAACTCCACACCATAACTCACAGAGCAGTATGTCGGTCAGGAGAGGCCGACTTATTAAAGGAGGGAATGTATCCTCTGTTGACTCAAAGCCTCGGCTCTATCTCTGTGAAACCTGTCATTGTGTTTGGGCTTATTACTGATTCACAGTCCGCCACTCCGTCCTTGGGGTGGGACAACGGAGCCTCTGTGCTCTGTCTGGACAAAGTGGGCACCTCAGAAGTGAGACTGCCAAATTGTCATGCATGTGTCTCTGCATCAAAGAGACACAGGCTGTCTCGGGACGCGGCGTGGACGGATTAAGTTGTAGCTTTTGCGTGTTCGACAAAAACAAAGCTGTTGTGTTGATACTGAATGAGCCTATTCTCCGTATTTATGGACTTTAGGAACACAAATACTGGATTTTTAGAGACAGGCGTTAAATCGAAACTGTAAAAAGTCAACAAATATCACATGTTGAATATTCTAGAGCTGGAGTTAACATGACCGGGTCCCATGTGGCTTACACGAAAAGGTTTTTACAGAAAGGGGAAGCAGAAAAAGATCCAGACAGGGGAAAAGGTGTGTTAGGTGATGGAAAAACAGAGAGGAGGCAGACAGGTGAATACGAAGTGTTCGTCCCTGGAGGTCAGTGTGCTTGTCGGCAGATGGAAATGGAAGAAAGAGCCGGAGGTGAGACGGTAAAGATTTTTCACATGATGTACGTCCTTTCTGCTTTTTTCTTTTACCAGTGACATGAACCTGTCAGACTGGAATGGCGCTCACATGTCGCCTCACGTGACGATCCCTGCAGCTCGTTGAAAACATGACTCAGCGGCATGAGCACTTCAAACACTCAACATTTCAAACATACCAGGATTTCGAACAATAGATTGAAGATTTGATCTGATTCAAACCTGCTGGAGTGAATTTTGTTTGTTTTTTTTGCAGACACATGGAGTTTCTATCATTTTTATCTGATTTTGTCCTGTTATCATCATCTCACCCGGCTGTAACCCTCACTCTAAATCTTTACAACGAGAAAAAGGTGCTTACAGCCTCATCCCACACCTACCCTGCAGCCGTTTTTGCAGGCATTAAAAATAACCACATAGAAATAATCAGTCTTCAGCTCGTGGCCTCTTTTACTTTTATGGGTCATATGAAGGCGACAGCATTAATTTTAGTCAGTTATACCGAAACCAGCTCCAAACTTCTCTCTGTAGCTTTAAGAGAGCAGTAGGGGAGAGTGGGGTAAGATGAGCCTGTGAGACGTGGACGAAGACAGCCAACGTCACCAACATGTTGGATGTCTTCCATCGACGGTGCCTCAGATCCATCCTAAAGATATTATGGAGAAACCACATCACCAATGAAGAGGTGATGAGAAACGCAGGTGTAGCACCCTTGTCTGACATCGTCTCTGACAGGAGAACGAGAATGACCGGACATGGACTCTGACTGCCAAGAGAGAGACCGGCAAGTGTAGCAATAGACTGGATGCCAGCGGGGGTAAAGAGAAGGATAGGGAGGCCAAAGAAGACATGGAGACAAACAGCCAAGGAAGACCTGAGCGAGATGGGAGTCAGCTGGCATGGGGCAAGAAGGGTCGCTAGGGACCGGAGCAAATGGAGGGGACTCGTCGCCCAATGTTCCAATAGGAACAGGAGGAACAAGTCTAAAGGTCCTACACACCGGGCGCGAAGTGAATATGCACATAAATTTTGCAAAGCGAATTAATAAATATATATTGTCTAAGCCCACATCGCGGGGTGGTCCTGTACTGCAATTTAAAAAAAAGGCGAATAATTTGCACCTGGTGTGTAAGGACCTTAGGTAAGATTGAATGGAATAATTGAATGGACGGATAATACACGGACCCCACTCTATTCCACAAAAGCTTAAATCAAAAATGACAGTAAAATTAGAATAAGAATGAGAGTGTCTTTGTTGGGGTTATGAATGTACAATGAAATGAAATCTATCAGGTTCAAACAGGAATAAAAAGTGCATGACTCACTCCTGAACAGCTGTTTTGTTGTAATTTGCTGTAAGTTTTTCTGACTCTGAGTCGCGAGAACTAAACTCAGGTTCAGCAGACATCTGTCCAATTTCTATTCACTCTCCGTCGGAGACGTCCCCATGGTTAGTTTCAACTTGTGATTACTGTTCTCAGTGTTCCTCATTAAGCAGTTGCACAAAACATCAGAGTCAAGTGGTTGAAAATGATTGCAGACGCTGATTACAGCGCCGCTAATCTTATTCTGGATTAGAGCCCGAGCAAATGTACTTATTATGGTGTCCAGGAGCAAAACTAAAGAGCAACAGTGAAATTTTCAGATTTACGGCCCATCTCAAAAAGCCGGAATAAACGACTTTTAAATGGGCAATCAATCTCCTGCGATGCTTTTACAAAAATCCTCCCCGGGCCAGTACACATTTTTGGAAGAAGAAGAAGAGTTTGGAAGAAGAAGAAGAAAAAAAAAGAAAAGAAAGAATTGTGTTTTGGTCTGTGCAAAATATAGACTTGCAGCACTTGGCAGACGTGCAAGGAGAGAGCAGAACAATCCTGAAACAGAAAATAGACATTTGGTTGGTTCTGTTTGTGTGACACACTGCACACAAACAGTAGCAGACTGTTTGACTAAAGAAGTGGCTGCAGAAAACCAAATCAGATTCCCAGAAAACTGCATCTTATCAAAAAAGTACACCGTGTTATAAGACGAAAAAACAACCCACTTTTGGGAGAGGGGGAAGAGATAGTGAGCATAACTCTTATATAAACTTAAGTGACTCATAAGACTTTAGAGAGTGGTCAAACTCAAAGCTATTCTGAGCATAAAGTGGGTCAAGCCCCAAAGACGCTGGACACTTAATTCCCCCTACCAGACTTGTAAACACCCACGTCTTTCAAACTTCATGCCCTCTTTTGTAAGACAAAGCCAAGATCCTCAGAGATGTCCCTCAATAAAATCCTCCACAGCTGCAGCAAACTTCACATCCTTTTCTTCGTTCATCGGCCTGAATGTGTTTAAACCGGCCGAAATAAGCCGAGACGGGCGCCACTCAGAGTCCCAGCTCACAATAACAGACCAGGAGGAGGAGCTTTCACTCAGCAGTTCCCCTCATGTGTGCGGAGGATTCAGGCCCTGAAGCAGCTGTCCCGGGTTTGACTTCTACCCTCAGCGCCCACTGCATGTCATTCCCCATTACCGATTACCTGTCTGTGACGCTTTCCTCTGTCCTGTCCTCTTGGTGTGAACATGACACCAATGAAACATCTTTAAAAAACACTGATGATCAGGCCTGTAAGAGCCAAAATATATTTGTTTAGGATATGATTTCTAATTGGTACGTCACTTCCGGGGATCGTCTCTGAGGGGTGTGGTTTTGGGATGTTTGGCGCGGTGTAGTCAGACAATGCTTTTGTGTCGACCGTTTTCACCGTGTCACTCATCCTGTTTTACCCTCAGTTCATCAAATCACTTTTTCATTTGAAGGCAGAAGTTTTGGACCTGGATCGATGTGTCTTCTTTTCTTTTTTGGAACAATAAATCACTTTTTTAACACTCAAACTGGACTGATAATTAAACGAGTCACAGATGCGAGCGAACCTAAACCCCAGCGGTCTTTTTTGTTGAAGGAAAGCAGTCGCTACAAGGCCGTTATTAAGGATTATTCATGGTTGATTTTTGGTTTTAATCCCCAAACTACAGTTCGCATAAATCATCTGCTGAGTGCTTCTTTATTCTTCATATTTACAGAAACAAACACAAAAGAAAACACAAGCATGACCAGAAACTACACGATCATTTTTAAAACTAGAAAAGCACTTGGAGAGCGCAGACCTCCGCCAAGCAGCTCATGTCCCCCCTTAAACAAGAAATGCCCTGACCCGGATTCAAACCTAGGACCTTCTGGTTGTGAGGCGACAGTGCTAACCACTACACCACTGTGCCGCCTATCTACACCACTGTGCCGCCCATTGGTTATCTTTCAGCATTGAAAATTCCAAAGACACCCTTATTTTTGTGTGTTCTTGATCACAGTATCCAGAATTTTGTCTGGATCACCACCAAAAGTTAATGGGATCCTCCTGGGGCTGAGACGCACCTCTGGTGAAAATTTCAGGTCAATCCGTCTGTTACTTTCTCCGTAAAGTTGCTAACAGACAAACAAACAGACAAACAAACAAACGAACGCTACCGAAAACATAACCTCCTTGGCGGAAGTAACCAGTGTGTCATGAAAGAGGGACGAGAAACTTTAAATAAGCAACTGCAGACGACGGCTTGTTTTTTTTTTTTAGACCTAATTTCACCTGTCTAGATTCTGTATATTTTTAGACACTGCATAACTGATCTCCATGTACTTAACCAAAATAATTACGATAGCTATTGACAAATATACAGTGTAGCATAGATATAACCCAGATTTAGATTTAGTCTAAATTTATACATCTCAAAAACATTCATTATTAGACCTGTGGTAGCCTGATTTTAGACTGGTCATCTAGTCTACATTTAGATGTCTATTTGACCTCTTTTTAGACCAAATAATGCTCAGTAGGGAGGCTCTTATCCTGTTGTTTTACACAAATCAGAGTCAAGAGTAAAATTTTCAGTGCGAAAATTTGGGTAAGATTTGAATAAGGTTATTTAAGTTCAATTCACAGAGAACAAGTTTGTGACAAAATAACAAAATAAAGATAGTATTAAAATAAGTAAACCAAAAACAAAAATAACAAACATAATGACAAACAACAATACAGAATTTCATCAAACATCTCAAAGGCCAATTTAAACAAGTGCAAAGTAGACAGCAAAGTACGGTGGCCGAGAACAGCCACTGCTGCAAATAAAAAAGAATGCAAAAAAAAAAAGAAGCCACAACGGAAGTTACCGATGCAATAAAAAGAAACAGAAGCCTGCTGCAAATAAAAAAGAAATGGTTTAGATAAAAAAAAAAGGTGGCGATGGAAAAAAAGGTTACTGACTGCAAAAATAAAAAGATGCAAAAAAAGGGCCTTTTTTTTCATCGCCATCTTTTTTGGCATCGTTAACTTTCGCTGTGGCTTTTTTTTATCTGCACCGTTTCTTTTTTTATCTGCAGCTGGCTTTTTTTTTTTTTTTTTGCATTTTTTTTAATTTGCAGCAGTGGCAGTTCTGGGCCACCGTAGAAAAGAGCTAGCTAATCTAAAAGCATGATCCTGTGTCTGTTTTCAGTCCGACACAGAAACAGAGTCAGAGCGATGATGATGCAAAGATGGAGCGGGTCAGAGACATACAGGAGTGCTTCGTCATGGATGGATATATAAATTAATAAAAGGATCTAAATTTGATTGACAGATACTGTAAGGGAATAAAATGGGACTAATGAGGGCCTTCCTGCTTGACCTGGTCTTGCAGCAGCTCCATGTCAGATGAGCAGTCCTTTGATTTAAATGTGAACATCAGCATGCTAACGTATCATGAAAACATTAACGTGCTGAAGTTTCTTTCAAATAAGCTGCTAGCCTCTGCTGCCGTGTGCCTACAGTGGATTAATGCTGTAAAAAGAAGAAGAAGAAACACTCAATTAATCCCTCGTGGGGAAATTCAATTTTTTCCACTCTGTGGCTGGACACACTCAAGCACACACAGGCTGAATTACACACTCATGCACACACAGGATCCTGAGGACATGCACTGCTGCAGAGATATCAGAGTGAGAAGACAAGCACATGGATGAGTCAAGTTCAGTGCCTTGCTCAGTGGTTCCTCAGCAGAGCCCTGAAGTTAAAGGGATATTCCAGCATAAAATTAATTCAGGGTCAAACACACTGTAGCACCGAGTTAGACACCCCCTTGAGAGATGAATGCTGCCGACCGCTTGCTTCTCTAGTTATACCAACTTAAGGAACAACCACACGATGTTAATACACAGCGGTCTGAGGAGCCATAAACAAACCTTTATGGATGTGATGGAGTTTCGTAGCTCAAGGAAGAACATTTATGATCATTTTTTCATGGAAATACAATCAGACTGAGACGCTAAGGCAGAAGAACTACTGTGTCTGCAGTGAAAATGATTAATATGGTGATTATTACTTCAAGGAAATGATACAGTAATGATCATAAATGTTCTTCCTTGAGCTGCGTCACCCCGCTGTAGTCCATAATGGACTGGCCTGAGGTCTCACTACAAACAAACGCCGGTATATCCCTTTAACCCGCAGCTACCAGCTTAATTTCCAAAGTTGATCTGCATTGGAAATCTTCCAGTTCCTAAATCAAGTCCCTGTAGACTGCTCTGCTGCAGCTGACTTCACTTTACATCTTTGCATAAAAATGAACAGGCCACCTCAGATACCAGCCAGAATTCATAAACTTCGATTGGTTAAACACTTTAACAACTTCTGTGAAATTCTCCCATTTGGATCGTCTTTCTTGCCGCAGTTGCACATTTCAGTTCATCAGTACTTTCGATTGTTTCCTTCGATGCAGAACTTCATACTGAATTAAGTCAAAGGGAGTTCAGATTCCTCTCTGTTGTTTAAAATCTAAAAAATATGCACAGGAATATTACATTTGTACTGAACTGAAATGATTGTTGTTCAGTGTTCACACTACTTTAAAGCATCACAACATTAGAGAGCACCACAGTCGAGCCACCGCAGCCCAACAGTCTGGATCTTTCTGTGTTTGCACAAAGTGGATAATAAGCTAAGAGGCGTACAAACTGCATTAAAGGTATGAGTGTGCCAGCGGAGGAGTGGAGCCGATTCACTCTGTACTTTCTGGCTTTGTGTGGACCACTTTCTGAAGGCCGTATGACGGATTCTATCAGAAGACATCCTGACAGTAAGTGTCAGAAACATGATCAAATTGGCGTCTTTTCTGACACGCTAAAGGCTTTTGAATGAAAGCAGCGTTATGCATTTCTATAAAATTACTCTTGAGGTGCATGTAAACTATGAAAGAAAATCCTCTCAACATGTCTGACTGCAATTACTTGCCAGGAGACATTAAGTGTTTTTCAGCAGTATATATATGCCGCACGGCCCAATTATCTCAAAGCCAGACGACATGAAAGAGCAAAGTGAGGAAGCAAACACCACAACGTGACTCAGGTCAGGATTAGTCTGTTAAAAACAGAACAATGTGAACAAAGAACAGAGCTCCCACTTTTCTTTTCTTTTCTAGCAGCTCACTGACTCACCAGAACAGAAAGAAGTCATATTCATGCTTTTGACACGATGAGTCTGCTTTTGCTGATTTTAACATTTAAGGGTTATTCTGGCGTGAAATTAATTTAGGGTCAAACACACCGTAACACAGAGTAAGACACCCCCTCCAGAGATGAATGTTGCCAAACGCTTGCTTCTTGAGTTATACCATCTCTAGTAACGACCGCAGGATAGCAATACACAGCGGTCTGAGGAGCCATAAACCAACCTCAACCAAAATGCCACTCTATAGCCACAAATAATACTCAGAACAGCACCTAACTCAGCGGTCTGAGGAGCCATAAACAAACCTTTATGGATGCTGCGGAGTTTCACAGCTCAAGGAAGAACATTTATGATCATTTCTTCATGGAAATACAATCAGACCGAGATGCTAAGGCAGAAGAACTACCGCGTCTGCAGTGAAAAATGATTAATATGATGATAATTACTTCAGGGAAATAATAAAGAAATGATCATAAATGTTCTTCCTTGAGCTGCGTCACCCCGCTGTAGTCTGTAATGGACTGGCCTGAGGTCTTGCTACAAACATGCGGCTGCTGAAAGAGAGTAGGTGAGTTATGTTTAGTCTCTTTGCTAAAGAAATTAGTCAAAGTTAAAAAGATGTTTGGTGGCTAGTACTATGGCTGGGACCCTATATGTCCTGTTGATGAAGTTAGGTGCTGTTCTGAGCATTATTTGTGGCTATAGAGTGGTGTTTTGGTTGAGGTTTGTTTATGGCTCCTCAGACCGCTGTGTATTGCTATCGTGCGGTCGTTACTAAAGTTGGAATAACTGAAGAAGCAAGCGGTCTGCAACATTCATCTCTCGACAGTGGGAGACTTATGTCAACAGGGTGTCTAACTCGGTGTTACGGTGTGTTTGTCCTTAAATTAATTTCATGCCGGGATATCCCTTAAACAAGCTGCAGTTTTGAAGTGACTAAACAAGACATTTGCAGAGATTGTCGTCAGGAATATGAACAGATGTGGCACACAGCCTCGTGGGATCAATCCTTTGTCTGGTCTCATCAGGCATGAAAATTTGGTCTGTGTGAAAGAAAGAAAAACGTGATGATGTTTTAAGAATAGAGCAACTTCTCCCGAGTGCAATATTGAAAAATTAACTTCACATTTACACACAAATAATGAACTCCTACAGCTACTAACCAGCAAACCTGTCAGCACGCTGAAAGACGAGGGTGTTAACTCAAAAACCGACTGAGAGCAAAGAGCCTAGAAAGAAGATCACATATTTACACTGAGATGGTAACGAGACACTAATAAAGGAAGATGTCCTCAATTACATTTGTCCAGACTTTGGATGGAAAAAGGAGGGGGGGGTCTAATGACATGAGAAATCATCTTGTTGCTAAGTAACTGGCTGTGGGTCTGAGTAGGATCTAAGGACAGGGCGCTGTGACAAGAATGAGTCAGTGAGAGCAAACAGAAACTGTTTCACATCTACTTCACAGAAATATAAGAACCGTTAGAGGAGCACAGCAGGAGAGGTCAAACATCCAATGTGCAAATAATGAGGAACAGCTCGACTTGAGGACACTGGAGAAGAAGAAGAAAAAGGAGAAGAGGAAATAACATCAGTAAAAAACAATCAGTGCATCCCGACTGCAATCATAAAAGTGCAGGAAACAAGTCGGTGGTGTACAATATGTTCAGAAACTTTATTAGATCAAACCCTTGAAGATACTATAACAGCATTTAAAGTTTTTTTTGCAACAGCTGAGCAATAAAAAAGACTTACAAAAGATTTTTATGGCAACCACCTCACTTAGAGACACATCATAAATACCATAACCACCCCCCTCCCCTCAAAAAAAACTCCTAATACACTTTACTTGATAGGATACACATTAAAACTGACATTCATACCTACACACGTTGCATACTTGCTATTTCAAAACCACCCTTAAATTTAAATAAGTAGTATTCATTAATAAATATTAAGTATTTTATTGATAAGTACGTTCTTTTAGGAGAGATTTCATTGGTGATGTTGGTTTGTATGTGCCCATGTAAGAAAGACTGCTAGAGGTGCAGAATTTAAAAGAAAATCATGATGCGACAAACACTTCATAAGACGACACAGAGATTGAAGCATCTTCCCCTCAGCGTGAGGGAAAGTCAAATGTATAAATATGATACGCTCTAAAGTGCATCTGTCAAAGACTTGTCCGATGAAAAGCCGTAAGTGGTCCTTCTGAAACAAACCGAAATAACCATCAAAACTAAAAAGTAGAAATGTCTGAACGTGCAGCAGATATATTGAGCAAAAAAACCTACCTACATACATGCACAGTTTGTGATTTGTTCTCAGGCAAAGAAACAGGAAAAAGTAACGGGTTAAAGGATAAACATCTTCACATTGTCAAGAGGTGATAAGTAGCTCTGTGCCGTTTCAGTCTTCTCTGGTTTGTTCACACTTGGCTTTTACAGAATATCTCAAACTTGGCAGATTTTAAAAAAGAAAGAAAGAAAGAAAAAAAAAGAGCACACAGTGGTGAATAAGTTCCTTCTTTCTGCTGGAAAAGTCACAAAGCAGAACCTCGAATGTTCAATCAGTCTTAACCTGGAGTTCTTCAGGCTGTCCCTCCTGAGAGGCGAGTGTTTGTCGGGTTTTAGATCTTAGGCAGCTTGGGAGCGCTGATGAGAGGGTTGGTTTCTTGCAGGAATCTCCGTCCGGCGCTCTTGTAATCAAACGTGCAGTCGTGTGTTTCTGCGTAGCGATGGCTGGCGCAGAAGTTGTGACCGCACCTGTGGAGGTAAAAGGAAAGTGTTTCAGGGCTCGACAGACAGACAGACAGATAGATAGATTTATTGGTCACCATGGGGACATTTCTCTTCACCAAGGCAGTTTTCCTTCAATAGCTTCCCTGTCATGTGACCTATTAACCTAAAATTGATTTTAAATAATCGTACTAAGGTCAGACAATAAGACACACTTCTTTATTTCCCTAATTTGTCCTCTAAACATTTTGTTTGTGTTAAATTTAAAGGCAAATTTTGAACATTTCCATCAATAGCTTCCATGTCATGTGACCAAAAGACCTAAAATTGACTTCAAATAATAGCACTTATGTCGACCAATAAGACAAACATTATTTGATCAGTTTTCATTGTGCCCCTAAAGTTCTTTGTGCTCCTTTCTTTTTCAGCTCAGGAACACATGTGCAGAAAGTTAGTGTCAAGCCCTGAGTGTCCGTGCATTCAAAAGCTTTTTTTCCACAGTTTGACCCGCGATCGACCCCACGGTAAGTAGAAAAACACTTTCAGTTTCATTATTAGCAAACTTCGGCTCCAATCTCATGCCATTCAGCTGACTCCAAACATCAGGTCACAGCTGCTTATTTTTGCCTCCTTAATAAAAGGAGGTTTTCTCAGAATAAAAGCCTCTTTTTGTTCTTTAATCTCCCTCTTTGAAACACCCTGTTAGTACAAGAGTAATACTTTCAGATGTCTAATTCATTTCGTTTAGAAGCAGTGATACTGAGTAAATTATTCGCGTCATTTAATTACAGATCTTTGCCATCTGACTAAACTGGTACCACTTAGGTCTTTGAACACAGTCGGAGAGCTCTGCTTTAACGGTTCCAACACTTCAAGGGGGTTGGTGTTGGGATATTAGAGTTACACACAGTTGCATCAGATTCAGAGAGTGTGTGCTGGACAAGGCCTCGGGAGAGAGCGAGCGAGAGACGGGATCCAGATTGATGTTGTTGGGGGAAACTTTGATAATGTTAACAACTTGTGGCAGAAGAGACGTGTCCTCACTAGAGAGGTGCTGGGAGACAAAATGATGAAGTCGGAAAAGACCGATTTCTACTAAAAAGGGGTGCTTCAAGGACAAGACTGACAAGTAAAGGGAGGTTTGATTAAGATTCAGGCAGGGAGTGAGCGGGCACAGCTGGAAACGCTGGAGGCACTTGTACCTGCACTCGTAGCTGGTGGCCAGGCCAGTCTTCCTGCCACAGAGGAAGCAATGCTTTGAGCTTTTCTTCTTGCTGCCTGTGGGGGCCTTGACTGGAGGTAGGTGGTATGTCGGAGTGCCTGGAAAAAAAACAGGGAACATTTTTATTGATTTCACACAAGCTGGAGTGGGGTTTCTGAGTGTGTGGTGAAAAGTTTATTCTACTGGTGAACTGATTCAGTAGTCGACGGGAATTTTTTTACTCAACAATATTTTAGTTTTATACAAATTATACAAAGGAAACTTTAATCACAAACACCTGCTTTCCCTCAAGACCCTGTCTACTGCTGGATATTCCTATTACTGTGCTTAAATAACAAATTCTGGAATTCGGGTTTTGTAGATTTTGAAATATAAAAGATGTTGAGAAATAAAAAGTAAAAAGAGAATAGGTTAAATGAACTGCTGTAGGTTAAGAGAAATACATATGTAGACGAGTCGCTGAGAACTGAAAAAGTCCATAAAAGAGAGAAGAATTTAAATTGTATGATTATAAAACATCACAGATGTATATTTAAAAAAGAAAACAACTAGAAGAGGAGAGTGTTGATTCAAAATGATGAGAGTTTCTGAATGTAGTCTAGAAAAGGTCCCCAGATCTTTTCCAATTTTCTGTCATTACCTGCGACCGAGTAAAGAATCTTCTAAACGTCTAAACAAGACGTAAGGTCTTTCAGGCACTGACTGTGAGAGGGCGGGGAAGCGTCCCTCCATCTAAGGAGAACCGCACGTCTGGCCTGGAGGGAGGCAAACGCCAGGGTTCGGCACCAAAACCAAAAACAGCCACCAGAGGATCAGGTTCTAAGGTCAACGGGAATTTAACTAATTTTTAAAACAGCAGGATAAGTGGCATCATCATCATCATCATCATCATCTGTGCCTTTTTGATTCGAGTTTTCTGCTGCTGGACTCCGTCCTGGTTGCGCTCTCAGTTCATCATGCTTCTCTTTTTTTTTAGTCAAGACGAGCAGGTGGAAAACTGGACACAGTGAGTCTGAAGTTGTTTCTGAAGTTGTTTCTTGTTGCAGCAGATCCACATTTAGCAGTTTGAGCCTCACTCTATTTGACTTGTCTGCTGAGATTATTCTTATGAGACGACTCTGCATGTTGATATCCAGCTTGCTAAGCCAATTTTACGCCTCTTTGTTTTCTGTAGCTTTCCATATATCCACTGTGTTGCCGTTGAAGATATAAACTGCAATGTGGACGGTTGCGTCTTTACATGGGCTGTATACTCAAATCAATAAACCAACTGGCGCCTTAAATGCCACCATTTTAGACTTCCTGCACACAGCATCACAGCACTTCAATTTTTTTCATACATCATAACAAGCTAGCAGCTGAAATGAAAAATGAGCGAAGAAACAGCACCAGACGACAAAACGCAAACACAACCAGCCTCAGTGTTGACACTGCTACATGTGGATCCTCCTCACTGGCATGAAGGTAGTTTGGTTTTAAAAGTCGGCTATTTGCAGTTGTTCTTACAGATATCTCAAAGACTAACTTGTTTCACCGTCTGCGAATTAACTGAAGAGTATGAAAAGCTTTGGGAGTGAGCAGCCAATCCAAAACAAACACACGACAAACTCCCCTAAAATACCAGTGTTCATTTTTAGCCGATTCTGCACACCCGTAACAGCAGGGTTATATCGACGACTAATCACAGCTGGCAGCAGAACAGCTGCTGTCTCTATTCAGGACTTGCAGGTATTTTGTCCCTCTTAGCTGTGAGGTCAGCCTCTTTCACCAGCTGTAAAAAAAAGTCAACAACAATCGCTCCAAAATCACAAACTGAAGCGAGGCCAGGAAATGCAAAACGTTGTAAAGATTCCTGTCAGTGTTTGTTGTTTTACTGCGTTCAGTCTGAGTCTCAATTCTGTGATCGTTTCAAAGCTCATGTGGAGTTATCACGTCATGTACCATGTCCACTTATCTCTCCTCATGTTTGTTTTCCAACACCCCCAGGACATGCATTAAAAACACAGTCATACCATGTTTTATTGACAGTTCCTTTACATCCTGGCAGGTTACATCAAGACGGTTTATGATCTACGGTATATTTGGAAATAATCAACCGCGCTCAATTTACAGAGGAGAAGTCGTATAATTGTCAGCCAGGTAACGTTTCCTTTCAGGGAAATTTCACGCTTTGCCATCCGAGTCCTGTCATCATCTGAGAAAATAAGTCAGGAAACACGGGTTTATGTCAGCTCGCATCAGTGATAACTGTGTCTGCGGGAGCATGAAGCTCTGCTGGGTTTGTGAGCTCGGAGGAAACAGGCGCAGAGATAAAACTGACAGCTCTGCCGTGAAGGTGCAGGGAGCTCGCTGTCAAGAAGCGCAGAGTGGGATTGGATTAATTTTTTGTCCAGTTCACTTTAATCTGGTATCGTACACACTGAGTGGGTTTAGAGATTTTCAGACCAAAGCCGGTCCTCAACATTTTCTTTTATAAATTCCAGATTTTTAAAGATTTGACGGCGTCTTATTAAGCATTTTCACTGCTCACAATCCTAATCTGACTCATCAAAGAGGATCTGAAGTGGGATTTTTCTGTGCATAGAGCGGGCCTGTTTTACAGTCAGGGAGAAAAGGTGATTTCTGACTGTAAATTACATCAGTGTGTTTTATGTTTGTTTGTGTCAACCTGCATTCTTGTCTCTGATGACAGCTAAAGGTTCGAATTACTTCATGGAGCTGAAAAAGATATGTGGTGAGCTCAAAGTACAGTGGATGTTTGTTGATGAAGCAACATGATAAACCAGGTTTACAAGTTTCAGCCTCCCTTCAAAATTCTGGGGAAGTTCCTCTGAGTGAAACACGAGGAAGTCGCTGGATTCAGGGGAACAGTTTTCTGTTGAAGTAGCTCCATTCATGCCAAAGTTAATAACAGTCATTTCTATAAATATAAAAGCTTTATCCAAATGGACACTTTCTCCATTTTCTGAGGATAAAACACCAAATTACTAAATTCTTCTAGACAGATACCTAATGTGGACTACACTTAGACCAGACTGGAAATAGATAAACTGTTTTCCAATTCTTTTCTCTAAAATCTCACAGCACTTTAGAGCCTCTAAAATTGAAGACTGGGAGAAAATGCCAAAGTGTAGGTGTTCAAATCTGGCAAAAGCAAACTCGAAAAGAACAAAAGTTGCGATTACTGCCAAGGGAAAAAGGAAATCTGAATTAAGTATTATGTAAATGAGAAGATTTCACCGTTCGTTTTTAATAAACAGACTCTGTGAGTTCAAACAGGATTAAAAAACAAGCTCCAGGGGTTAATTAATCTCTTTTGAACACCAGAGTCAGCATACTCCATGTCTCTTATGTGGGGAGGCCACACAAATACATTTGTCCCCAACCAAAACAATTCTTAAATATTATCTTTTTTTTACTTTTACTTGTTCAGAAAATAGAGTTAAAGAAGCAGATTAATAAGTAAATCATTCCTGTTTGCTGGGCTGTTTCATGCTGTCTGCTGTCAACACGAATTCTGGGAAACACTGACGCTGTTAAGAGTGATATAGGGAACATGAGAACAGCACAACTTGTTCTATTGTCTATAGAGGCGAAGCATATCAGTGGCTGACACAAATGAGTGAGTGTTCTTCTGTGTAAAGCCGGTCCCTTCTGCTGTGTATGCTGCTTCTGCAGTCGTAGCATTAATGAATATTTAAAACCCTCGCGGTGCTTTGTTGTAGCTCTCTTACAGCACACGCTAAAGCCTCTCACATCAAATCTTCTATGTGACTGCTCCTTTTCAAGAATGATATTACAGTTCGGGGCTGTTTGTTTGGCACGCTGCGCGGAGCCTCTCGAAATCGTAACGGTGTCTGAGTGTCTCTCTTACCTATTCTCCCGAATGAAGTCATGACTCCACCAGCTGATGCAAGAGTGTTTGCGGCCTGAGAAAATAACAGCAACATGAAATATTTGTACACCAAATCAATAAAAGTATTGCAGTGCTTTATCTTGAGAAATATAGAGGTTTCAGAAATGACGTATTGAAAACGAGCTCAAAGTTCTCAGCGGGAGCAGAAAAGTGATGAAAAATTTGCAGTATCTGTCGTAGTGAAGAAAACTGTCAAAAACTGGAGGACTATTTTGGTTAGAGGAGAACACATTTTAAAGAGACTCTATGTTTCTTCTAACTGGAAGGGAATTAACAGACGGACTCTAACTATTGTGACAATACCTCTGATTTGCAGTAGACATTATGTTTAAAGGGATATTCCAGCGTAAAGATAATTTAGGGTCAAACACACCGTAACACTGAGTTAGACATCCCCTCCAGAGATTAATGTTGCCGACAGCTTGCTTCTCTAGTTATACCAACTAACGACCGCAGGATAGCGATACACAGCAGTCTGAGGAGCCATAAACAAACCTCAACCAAAACGCCACTCTATAGCCACAAATAATGCTCAGAACAGCACCTAACTTCATCAACAGGACATAACAGTACATAACTACAGCGGGGTGACGCAGCTCAAGGAAGAACATTTATGATAATTTCTTCATGGAAATACAATCAGACTGAAACGCTAAGGCAGAAGAACTACAGCGTCTGCAGTGAAAAATGATTAATATGATGATTATTACTTCATGGAAATGACAGAGAAATGATCATAAATGTTCTTCCTTGAGCTGCATCACCCCGCTGTAGTCCGTAGGTAGGTACTGTAGGTACTAGACTGGCCTGAGGTCTTGCTACAAACAAGCGGCTGCTGGAAGAGAGTAGGTGAGTTGTGTTTAGTCTCTTTGCTAAAGAAATTAGTCAAAGTTAAAAAGATGTTTGGTGGCTAGTACTATAACTGGGACCCTATATGTCCTGTTGATAAAGTTAGGTGCTGTTCTGAGCATTATTTGTGGCTATAGAGTGGCGTTTTGGTTGAGGTTTGTTTGTTTGTTACGGTGTGTTTGACCCTAAATTAATTTTACGCCGGAATATCCCTTTAAAAGCCAATTACGTTTCTTTGTACGTACTGTGACTGAAATATTTTGACCAATTCAGTGAGTATTACATCAAATTACTGTATCTAACAAATATAAAAAAAAAGAAACTCTAATAGATCTCCTCATTTTCAGCATCTGCTCCGTTAAGAAAGCCGAAAATGGTAGTAACTCTGCCGATCACATCCAAGTGATGAATCTGCAGGAAATGTTGTTTGCAGACCCCAAAAAGGACAAGAGATCCACACATTCAATCTTCAAGGCAAATATTGACATATATCTGTACTCACCATGCAAGAGGCTGCCGCTCGGTGTGGAGGTGACATCTGTCTGAGGAGATCATCTTGGAGCCTGTTAGTTTGGGTGGATTGCAGCCTGGAGCTGAGGCCACCCTGTCCTGAGGCTGTGGCAGGAGGAAACATCAGTGCAAGCCCCAGACTCTCTCCGTAACCATCCCTGTTGTTGCTGATCTCTGAAGGTCTTTTGGAGAGAGAAGCCATGAGCTCGGTGTTGCTCAAAGAGCCCAGCGGCTCCTTACAGGCTTGGTTGGCCATCTGAGTGATGCCCCTTGCTTCCCTTTTGGAGATAAGCTCTGGCCTTTTGCCAGGCGACTCCACTTTAACACCGCGAAGGCGTGGAGGATAAAGGGATGAACTGGTGGTGGGGAGAGGGGACATGTTCCCTGGTCTACCTTGTGCTTGGAGGTTGGGGTGTAAACAGGACAGAGTGGAATCAAAAGGCTGAGGCAGAGGTCTGGTGGATGTGGATGGTGAGGTGGGCAAGGGAGAGGGGGGACTAATGTGGAACGATGTGCCAAGCTGAGTCCTATCAGCTCTACTTGTGAGAGTTTCATTTGTCCCGAGCATCCAGGTACTCAGTGGGGAGGGGGAGAGAGGCAGCTGGTGCTGGGCCCCGACTGCAAGGGAATGGCAGCCTCCCTCTGGCTGTGCGGACACATCTAGACTTAGTGGGTCTGAGAGTTCCCCGAACTGAGCTCCAGGTTGTGATGGCAACACCAGCCCAGCAGCTTCCTCCAACAAACCCAGTCCCACTGCCTCTGCTGCTGGATCAGAGGGGTCATAGGTGGCCTCTGGTGGTCCCCTGATATACAGTGGAGGGAGCTGAGGGTAGACACAGTCCCTCATTAACCTGGTGCTGCCGATGTCACACTGGGAAACTTTGGGAGGGGGCCGGATTTTTGCAAAAGGGGGGCATGTCTCCCACGGTTCCTCCTCTTGAAGCATATAACAAGAAGGCGAAGAGAAAGAGGGCGGAGGTCTTCTGGGGATGGACAAGTGCGCGGAGGTTGAAGCAGCGGATGCAGCAGCAGAGGAGGGGAAGGGGTCTATGGATTTGTGGTCAGGGATCGGAGGTAGTTGTGCATTTGACTGCCGTGGCTGGTTGATCTGAGCGAGCGAGCGAAAGAGGCGATGGTGGTGTCGTGTGCTTGGTGGTCCCAGAGAGCCGCCGCAGGGGTGAGGGCTGACGGGCGGCCGTGGTTTGATCTTTGTTGGCTTTTTCGGCTGGAGAGTGGAGACACAGAGACTTGGGGTTACACCAACAAAGCCCTTCTGCTTTACTGAACATTTTCATTTAGTTAGAAAACTGACATGAGCCAATAACACTGAGCATAAAATCGTACAGAGCTGGAGCAAAAACTCGAGCTAATTCATTTTTCAATTAAAAACAAAAGAAAGAAGAGAAACTTTTACATAACCAGTGTGTTTTTTTTATTTAAGTAATTAACTAATTTTTTAAAACAAATGTTTCTGTGATCCAAGCAGCATCCAACCTTTTTGCTGAGGTTCATGTCCTCCATCTTAGCCTTGAGTTGCTTCATTTTGCTCATGGTGATGGAGTTCTCAAGGCTGTGCTGAGCAGCTGCCGAAGTCGCTCCTTCCTCCTCCTCATCTGCACACGCATTGTACACTGAACCACCACTAGAAAAATATGAGAGGCGGAAACACTCGTCCTTTTAGTGATGTAACAAAGCTGTCTACTTAATGGCAGCCTCTTCAGTCTTCCTGCTCACAGGCAAATATTTGTTGCCGCAGTGGACATGAAATAAGCTGCACGACTAAACAAAACCGCTGAATAAACAATGTCAAGCACTCATCCTCACACTGGCTGGCTGACTGAATTGTTGTACTTTTATAAATGTTTCACCATATAACTGGTCCAGTTCTTCTTTCACTTAAAAAGGTAAAAAAAAAAAAAGAAAAGGAAAAAGTGAAAAATATGCTAAAAATGTCCAACCTGAGAGATTCAGACAGAGGCGTCAGGGTGCCATCTCCTCTGTCAACCACTCGAAAGAAATTCAGTTGGTCGCCCTCGCGGTAAACCACGAACGTGACCTGTTTGTTGGACGTGGTTTTCTCCCAGCCCTCCTCCTTGGAGCTCTCCATCAGGTCAGCCACCTCTTTGATGGGATCCTCTAGTGTTACTAGCAGAAGATTTGAGCAGATACTGCAGTTAAAGCACCAGCGGCAGCATATTTTACACCCTCTGTACTGGGTATTAAGCTCAGCTGTCCACACATCTGTGTGAATGTGTTTGACATACCTCTCCTGGTGTTGATTGGGCCTGCCCTCATAGCCAAGATTAGTTTCAAAGTGCAGCCCTCTGCAATGCTGCGAAGGAAAACACAGCGGTGAATAATACAGCAGAATAAATCAACTCGTCAACATATTTGAATTCAGGGTAAAAACCTTCACTCCTGAGGCTACGCTCTGAAGTAAACAGCACTCTGAGGGTCAGAACTATTTTCAGATGAACCAAAAGTGAACGACCGGGAATTCCATCTGAACATTTGTTTCATATGAGCAGATGTTTTACTGCCTGATCTCCTCCTCTGCTTCTCCAACTTCAAAGGAAGCTGCAGTATGATAGGCAGGAAGGATCTCACCAGAGGCTGTTCATGTGGAAAATTAAGTGACAAGCATTCATAACAATACCACCATCTGCAACCAGCAGAGCTCCAGAAGCCGAGGCCTGCATCTCATAAACTGTCAAGAGTGCATGGGTGAGCTCTATTTAATATGACCAGTATGGCCCAGAGCAGACGGAGAGCATAGTGCAGAATGTGAAGCGCACCAAACTGCTTGTTTTGTTGAAGCCTACAATTTGAAACAGAGCAACTAGCTGCATTTTTCTTGTGTTGCTAGGCAACCCCAGAATCACCTGTCCTAAGCCAAACCATGGTTTTCTGTGAGGTTAAGTCACGGATCTTAAATACTTGAATCTAACAAATTAGAGAAAAATACCAGCATGTACTCGTCCTGATTTAGTTGTTCAACTAAGGGTTAAAAAGGTGTTTACAGCCAAACTAACAGCACATGAAGTTCTTATAGCCTGAGGAAAAAAAAAAAACCTTTCTGTATGATCAAAGCTGATGTCTTTAGGCTCTGCACAACATGTTCATAAGAATAACACAAGATGAAGGCAAAAACAAAAGGCTTTTAAAGGGACAGATTAGTATTTTGAAGTGAGATTATATATGTCACCAGTAGGTGTACACGCAAAATATAAAAAATTCCCTGAATACAGTATATCTGTATACAGTGCGGCTGAAGAGCATGTGTATGTTTTGTGCAACCAAGTGTTTTTTTTTATGGTTAAAGCGCTGAAAAATTCCTAAGCAGAGTGTAGACTTACACTGAAATTACACTAAATTACCATGTGGAACTGTAGCCTAGCTTGTGGCTTTTCTTATTCAAGAGTCAGAGCTGACCAGCATCTATTGCATGACTATTGTTTATTCGGTCGAATATACATAAAGTACAATTTTAGACAAGAAATTCCCTATTATTTGAAGATCGAAAAGGAGTAGGTTGAAGCTGTTTAGCTTATATGTACCTACCCTCATTCCTTCCTATTCATTTACCCTTTGCACGTCTGTAGAATTTTTTATGTTGCCAAAAAGGAACCAAAGCTCCAAAGTCTAACATGAATAAGTAAATAATCATTAATACTAAAACAAAGACCTTTACATATATATACAAATATACACACTTCATAGAATACTTCAAATCTCTCATTTGTAAGAATAAGAATAAGAAGAACTTTATTGATCCCTGAAGGGAAATTCAAATGTCTGTTGTCTCACCTAATATGTCTATAAAAGTTATCTATTATTTACATATAAAGCCTGATGGCTGTTGGATCTTCTAAATCTTTCTGTACCATTTGTAACATACAGCCTCTGGTGAGATCCTTCCTGCCTACCATTTGTACCATACCCATATAAAATATAATAAGTGTGGCAAAACAAAAATCACTTTCGTATGTATATTTCAATCATACTCTGCCTTAATTTACTTTTAAACTGTGCTATAGTTTTGCTTTGTTTAAGTTCATTGGGTTAGACACATGATTTTAAGTGTGGTACAAACGCCTGGTTGTTTTAAATTGCGTTCCCCTCTTAATACATACCTCCCCCCTCTTCCACTAAACATATGACTAGGGAGTGGATTGTTACTTGCTTACTCACTCGTCACATGTTACTAATACAACCCTACTTCTATCAACCCATTCCTTTAGTACAAAGAGAAACTGTTCTGACTGTGTGTGCAGAGCTTTGTTCAAACACATCGCTGAAGACTTACGATCTGTTCGATTTTCCCTCAGTGTCAGTGCTCTTACAGACAGAAAAGACAAAAATATGTACCCATAGTCATGTAGACAATGTTCATCATCCAACTCCACATTGTTCCAGATAAGATGTTGCTGGGCAACAGGGATACCTTTAAAGACAGTAGGGGTGGGGGTGGGAAAGTTAAGAAGAGAGAAAAAAAAGCAAAGTTGAAAAAAAAAAAAAATACTGTTCGTATTTAAAGTTCATTTATTTGACAGACATGCAAGAAGGGAAGGCTGACAACGGAGGCACTCATCCAGCACTGAGGTGAACCATGTCTGCCCCCTAGAGACACAACTATATAACTGTTGGAAGGTGAACACAAGTACTGACAGCCAAAGCTGAATTTGCTTTAATGTCAATACAGTATAATGTTTAAAGCTTATCTTACTGCTGAAAATCTTAAATACATGAAGTTTGTCTATGTTACCTCTACACTGAATTTCATATGAAAGCGACGAGCTCAAAAACACAGGACTGCAGCAGGAGGACCGTGGCTGAATTAAAGGCTAACTAGAGCTTCTTCTCAGTATAAGAGCGAGTGCATGAAGAGTAAGGAAGCTTTCTGCACCCACACAAGTGAACCTCCAGATCTAGAGTTGGAGGTGAGCCAGTGTAAGTGAGTGAGCTGTGGCCATTTTCTCGCATAGCGCATTTACTCCGTGACAAACCCCAAAGGCTTGGCTGACACACCTCCTCTCCCACAGAGCACAGAGAGCTCTTTCTACACCAAAGTGAAATCAAAAGAGAACAATGAGCCCACTCCATCTACAAATATCAACCTAAGGAGGAAAAACACGATGATGAAAAAAAGATGTAGGTTAAAAAAAAATCTCATTGGTTATTTGCATAAAAACAAATTTAATACCAACTTCGTGATCGATGATCGTGATAAATTTCAGTTCGATCACTGTGATCAGCTGGGAGCATATTTACTCAATCAAACATGGCGGAAATGTGTGTCACAACAGCCAATCAGAGTCAATTCTGCTCACTTCTGTAAGTTGCTGGAGAAGTAAGCAGAATGACCGAACGGGAAGCTAAACCCGGAGCTGAGGTCAGCAAAATAGATGTCAGCCATGACTTTGGGTCGTCCTCCGAAGATGTTATTGTTGAGAACAAAAACTATTTCACGTCTGCTGTGTGGCGGTGGTTCGGGTATCTCCAAAGTGACGTCGAGAAATTACGCCGATGTGTAAGGTATGTTGGCGGTCAGTGCCCTCAAAAACCGGCATGCCCCTGCTGCATCTCTTGGAGGATCAAACAACAGGTGAGTCTGTATTACTATCATCTATATCATAAGGCTGTGGCATCTTACTAAGAAATCAAACAGCCTGAAGTATTCCTATAAGTTCGCATTATCATCAACACATAGCTCATGGGGAGGTTTGGTGTCGTGATTCACTGAAATTTATTGAACACCCACGACTGAGCTGCACACTGGTGAGGCACAAATCTCAGCTTGTGCTGCTTTAACTATGAATTTTTAAATCAGGACCATAATAGGTAAAAAATCGAAAAGAATCACTTTCAAATAAAAAAGTACTGCTCCTATCCCTGTTCATATCTGGCCAAGAAGTCCAGTTGCAGTAAGTATTGTTGGAGGAAAACTCAGGATAAGCATGCCTTTTTGATTTTTTGGCATCTCTTTCTTTCTCACTATGATAAGCTTGGCGAGGAGCTCTGATCCAAGTCAACAAGATTCTTTGGGAAGTGGATTAAGACGGCTCCACAGAGCAGCTGAATACTGAGCAGCAAAACCCAGAAGACTGAACAGACACACTAGATCTACTGAAAGATACTCTGAAGTAACCGACTCTGTAGCACTGCTTTTAATGGGAAAAACATAAGCTGTCCTGTCTGTGAGTGTGTGCCTGCATTAGCATTTATTTGTGTTTTTTTATAATGTTCTTCTTTGTGTTCGGAATGCATTTCAACTATGTGATGTTTCAATTGTAACCTGCCAAGAGACAGCAGATGTAAATGTACTTTAAGCTAACTCCTCTACAATGCATTAGGTGGTCATATTTGTGTTATATTATACACAGTCCATTCAATTATAAATAATATAAGATCTCAAACTAATGACAGGGTGACAAGTGTCATTATTATTTTGTTATATCGTTATCATCTTTTTATACTTACTATCCTGTTTCCTGCCCTCTACCCCCCTCTTACATTTCTTTTTCTTACCTATCTTGTGTTTTTATTTTGGTCCTCATGGTCTTGTTTTATGTTGTAGGGTTCTTGTATTGTCTGGATTTCTTATGACAAATGACAATGGCCTTCAATGGGAGGTCTTGTTTTTAACGGAGCTTTTGTTTTTCATTTGTCTTGTCTGCACTTTGTAAACTTCTGTTTTTAAAAGTGCTATAAAAATTAAGTTATTATTATTATTATTATTATTACTATTATTATTATTATTATTATTATAAGTGACTAAATGCACTTGATAGTATAAGTAGTGCACAATTCTGATAGAGGCTGGCTAAAACAAGAAAAACAAACAAGTGAACATCGTACCTTCTAGTCTCTGGATCTTTGCCTTGACTGAAATAACGGCCTCGAAGGGCAGCACACGCAGCTCAAAACACGTCCCTGTCAGGGTCTCTATGAAGAGCTCCATAGTGTCATAGAAAGGGAGCTTATACTGAAAAGCCCCCACGCTGTCGTCATTGAAGAACGGTGGCTCCTTCCTGTCTGTCATGTCTGCAGCTTGGGAGAGAGACTTCAGGAAGATGCTTAAACCGGAGGGCCGGCCCACGATGAGGGAAAGAGGGACAGGTGCGGCTCACTGGCTTCACGGCTGTCGCACATCATGCAGGATCACCACATCAGCTGTAAACACACACAAAAAAAGCATTGTATGATTTTTTTGAAGGTCTGATTAATTTCACCATTTCCTGCTCATGTAATCCAATTCTTCACTAAACTTGGTGTACTTCCCAGAGATCCCAAATTTAGTTGTGATAATTTATGCTCTGAATTCTGATATTTGCATATTAACTTTGCAATCAAATCAGATTTTCAGACTAAGTTTGGATAGACAGGCCTTATAAATTACAAATGAATGCACTTATTGAATGACCTTTCCCTCAGTGTCAACAAACAACTTCTTGCGTGAGGGGGGAGTCTAATTAGGGAGGATGTGTACAGGGACATTCTGGGATGTTTACGATAGGTGATATGCACATGCACAATTACATAACACAAGAATTCACATCTACACTGGTGGATCTCAACCAACACAAACAAGACAAACTGTTTCAAAAACTGTCCTTAGTTGGTACTGAAACTTTCCTGTAGTATTTTTTAAACTGAGACAAACTTTTTATGAAGGGCACGTATAAGTAAAAATAGATGTGCACATCCCTTTATTAAACATTCAGTGCAGTACTTAAAGCACTGGCTAAAACTCAAGAAGATCAGGTGCATTACATAAGCCCATCACGGGTATGAGGTGTCCTCTACTGTACCAGAGTCTTTGACTGATCACCGCTTGTGTTACTTAATTCACCAACAATTCAGTGTCTTATGGGTAAAATGAGTTGATTCAACACTGCCGATAGTGGACACCAGATTCAAAGGAAAATAAAATGTAGGTCAAACAAATTAAGGCTTATTTCATAATAGAAAAAGGAGAAAAAAACAAACACCCTCCTCATGAGTGTAAAAGACTTTCTTCAATCTTGATCTGGCTGTATGTTTATAAAGATGCCTTTGTGTGAAAAAACACGATGATTATAATGTTTATTCATTTCAACTCAGTTCTTGGTCATGATTAGAGGGGATAAATTGTGCTGCAATAATCTTGTATTTTTTTCCATAACTTGCAGTAAATAAGGGTGTTTCTTTATGTTTTCATGTTTCCATAATATTACCACATATAATTTAACTGTGTTTTCATTTATTCCAAATAATGGAGAACAGGCTCATGGATTGATTTAACTCACTGTCTCAAGAAAACAAAGCCGTTTATGAAGGTAACTGGATCGTTTTTTGTCGATCTATTTGTCGAGCCATAAACAAACCTCAACCAAAACGCCACTCTATAGCCACAAATAATGCTCAGAACAGCACCGAACTTTATCAACAGGACATATAGGGTCCCAGCCATAGTGCTAGCCACCAGACATCTTTTTAACTCTGACGAATTTCTTTAGCAAAGAGACTAAACACAACTCACCTACTCTCTTCCAGCAGCCGCTTGTTTGTAGTGAGACCTCAGGCCAGTCCATTATGGACTACAGCGGGGTGATGCAGCTCAAAGAAGAACATTTATGATCATTTCTTCATGGAAATGCCATCAGACCGAAATACTAAGGCAGAAGAACTACCGCGTCTGCAGTGCAAAATGATTAATATGATGATTATTACTTCAAGGAAACGATAAAGAATTGATCATAAATGTTCTTCCTTGAGCTGCGTCACCTCGCTGTAGTCGGTAATGCACTGGCCAGAGGTCTCACTACAAACGAGCGGCTGCTGGAAGAGAGTAGGTGAGTTGTGTTTAGTCTCTTTGCTAAAGAAATCAGGCAAATTTAAAAATATATTTGGTGGCTGGTACTATGGCTGGGACCCTATAGTATGTCCTGTTGATGAAGTTAGGTGCTGTTCTGAGCATTATTTGTGGCTATAGAGTGGCGTTTTGGTTGAGGCTTGTTTATGGCTCCTCAGATTGCTGTGTATTGCTATCCTGTGGTCGTTACTAAAGTTGGTAAAACTAGAGAAGCAAGCGGTCAGCGACATTCATCTCTCAAGGGGGTGCCTAACTCTGTGTTACAGTGTGTTTGACCCTAAATTACTTTTACGCTGGAATATCCCTTTAAAAGGTTAGTTTAACCTATGTCTATATTAGATTTATAGTTTGCAAATCTGTGAATACAATCTTTGATTAATGTAAGGTTGAGACCTTGAAAAAAACAACAACTTAAACTAACTTTGTTATCATGAAAAGACACTGTGGATCAAATGTCTAGTGTACAAACTGAATCTGACATCTGATACAATATTATGTCACACAAGGCTAGACTCTGAGGTGAGCATATGTCCTCTCTTAAGTAAACAGGAATAATAGAAGAACACAGGGAGCTGAACTCAGGGGATTGTTTAAGACTTTCTGCTAACATGGTTGTATAATAAATGCTATTTTGTTGTTCCCATGCATTTCAAAGTACACACTTTAACACAAGCTGCAATTCAGAGCACTAATAAAAGCCTGGTACTTACAATTGAATCCATTGTACTGGGCCTGACAGGGGATCAAGTTACCCCTCAAAACACTTAATGACATTCACAATAGATGGATAATGATTGTTGGGACTATAATAGCACAGAAATATACTTATTTAGAGACTCTCGGGTTGTCATAACCACCCACTGTCTAAAGAAAAGTGTTTATATCATCCATTTAGATGCAACACTATATTATGTTTTACATTTCAGATATTCAACCTTATAAAAACTGTGGTTCATCGTATCTTCACAGTAGAAGCTAGTTGAGCATAAAGGGACTAACAAGCTATGTAAGCTAGCTGCCTGACAACAGTGATGAATGGAGAGAAAGCGGAGCTAACGTTAGCACAGAAACGACACACAATGAGTAAATATCGCTCTTTTTATTCACACTAAAACATCAGTTACCGTCAGTATTTTGCTGTTTAAGATTACTCACCAGTATCTTCGCGAAGCTCGTCTATCCGACTCTGCTAACATTAGCTTCGGTTGCCATGTTAGCCTCCAACTCAAACAATGCCTTCCTTTCTCGGATGAACGGCTAGCAGGCTGCTAGGCTACATTTAAAAGGTTCAGTCTGTCCCCGTCCGGTTGAAGCGGTGCTGAAATGAAACGTAAGCGCCGTTTCATCCCGTTTAAGTCCTTAAAAAGTACAAACGGAACAAATAAGACGGTCCACCGTTGTCGGTAGCCGTGGTGCCCTTGTTGGCGACATCCTCGTACCTGTCAAAGGCGACTGAACAACACCTTTGTGAATCCGCTTGATTGACGGGAAACTGGACCAATCAGCATCGGGATGTGTAGGTGGGCGGGCAAACAGGAAGCAACGGTCAACCGTTTCTGTGGGCAGCAGAAGGACCCTCTCCAAAACAATTAGAATATCACGGAAAAGTTTAATTATTTCCATAATTATATTAAAAAATTCATAGATTATAGATTCAGGGCCCACAGTTAAAAGTATTTATTTGTTTATTTTTTACATAATGGATAATAAGTTGGACTGGTCTAAGACTATAGATCTACAGAAAGGGGCAGAGCCTCTTTTGCCTGAGAAGACTGATCAATAGACATCTGTAGTAAGATGCTGCAGATGTTTTATCAGTCAGTCTGTGAGGCACTTTGAACTACATTTTTTGGCTTAAAAGTGCCATAAAAATAAAGTTGAATTTGAATTAAAATCATGCCTGTTTAATATATTTTAACTGAACTACAACTTCTAATAGTGTTGTCAATACGCTGTGCTGATTTCACACGCAGGTGGGGAAATTACTTGTTGCTGTAAGTACTTGACCCTCCAGTAGGAACCTTTCAAGGGGTAAAATACAGTGTTTAGGATTTTATTTTGGCTGCGCTCAGCTGTGGAAGTACACAAAGAACCTTTAAAAGCCCCTTTTCCACAAGCTTAAAAAATACATCAAATATCTGCCAACATTTGTTATAAACAAATCTCTTATTAGTCAATATAAAAACACTAATTACAACCCAAAAATTTATTACAGTATATTCTAAAAAAATCTGTTTCCAAAGTCACGCCGTAAAGCAAAACGCGAGAATTTCCAAACCGCAAGATTATTTCTCTTCATAGCTGATAAATGAATAACCCTTGATTTCTGCTTTTCAATGCCAGAATACTGTCCTGAAACACAACTGGAGAAAAAAAAAAAAAAGATCGAGCAACCTTTGTTTTTATCTGGACAGCTAGAATCCACATGAATACAATGGTGCTGGAAATAATCACACGCATGTCAGATAGCATAAAATATGTTTCTTTTTAGTTATTAAAAATGAATTTCCTTTTTTTATCACAGCCAAAGTTAAGAAATTGATGAATTTTCTATTAATAAAAACATTGTCAAAATGCCTAAGACATGAAGTAAACACATTGATTTCTCATAAACATGATATGGCACAAACTCAAAGACATGGCATCTCAACATGGAAAAAGCCAAACAATAAACATATTCAAAATAAACAATTTACTGTTAATTTCTGCAGGCTTTGAGGCTAAGCATATGCTATGCTTATAAAGTGCTATCATGTATGATAAAGATTAACAGTACACATTAACTGTTACATTGTATGATCTGATGCAAGGATGATTTTGGAAGTGCTGGCGGGAAATGACTTGAATTATTTTCATTTGAGACTATCTGCAAAAAAATATGCCATAGTATTTATATGAATTCATATGAATAAATACTCTATCAACAGTGTATCCGATCTCCAATCTTTCAGCCACCAAATGACCTCAGATTTAATTCACAATTATACAAATTTGGCTACTTAGAAATGATCAGTTCCCACCAAGAGCATTTAGCGGATCATCGAAGATGTCGCTCGAATCGGCTGCCGTAATGATCTCCTGAGGCGACGGCGTCTTCTTCGATTTGCTGGGGGCTTTAGTGACTGCTTTTACCACGCTCGGCGAGAAGATGTCATCTTTGTGGAGGAGAGAGATGGAAACAGACAGAGTCAAATACCTGCGTTAAAAGACACTAACCCTTCTCTTTATTTGCTGTCTTGGTTTGTCATTTCCATTTTAATCTGTCTTGCTTTAAGGATTGTTTTTTTTTTTACATTTACACAAACACAGCTGTGGTTTTCAATGTGTTTGCAGAAAAGAAAAATTGACTTCTGAATAATAAAAACACTAACGCCTGCATGCATTGTATTGTTTGCATTGCTTACCCATGTCATCATCAAATATGGACTTGGTCTCTCCCTTCGTCTTGGACTTCTGTTTCGGCCTTAACGAGTCCGTCAGGTCAGCGAAAATGTCAATGTTGTCGTCAAACAAGCTGGCATCAATCGTCTTCTCTTTGTGCTTTTTATCAACTTTAGGCACAACGGTTACTTCATCCTGAGGGGAAAAAAACAGCCAGTAAGAAAAGGAATGGAGGCACAGAAAACCCTGACAGCTTTACAGCCAATAAGAAATCTAAAGTACCTGGAAGATGTCCTGCTTAGAAAAAGTGCTGCTGTTCTTGATCTCTTTACTGTTTGTGGATGTGGGAGTGGAGCTGTTGCTCACTCCAAAGATGTCCTCATCGTCATCCTCCCCCAGAAAGGATGAGGCTTTGGTCTTTTTAGTGGTAGACTTGGGCTTGATGTTTTGGAAAAGGTCGTCAGTGTTGTCGTCAAAAATGGATGGGAGTGTGCTTTTGTCCTTGTCTTTCTTCAGTCCCACGTCATTACTGGCCGGAGGTGCTGTCGTCTCGGTAGTTCGTCTGGAGGAGGATGAGTTAGTGACACCAAACAGGCTGTCAGAGCCAAACAAGTCGTCCTCATCAGTAGGGGGCAGCACATTTGTGCTACTGCTGCCTTTACTCGAGTCTGTCTTATCACTGATTGTGGATACTGGCAGTGTTAGTGCAGAGGGTCTTGGAGAGGTTTCAGGGACAGAAGGTTGAGGATTTGAGGAGGCGGGCAAGGTTGTAGGTGCAGCTGAGCTTGGTAATGATGGACCAGCAGGGGCCTGACTGGACTTGTCTGGTGGGGGTAAAACTAAACCAGACATACTGGGATTTGAGTCAGGAACATTTTCACTCCGAGTCTGCTCTTCATCCACCGCAGATCTCTGGGCTGCGTGCTGCCTTGCCGCGCTCTGGACTGGGGTCGGCGCTGTGCAGAACCTTTGGCACGGCTCTGCAGGACAGAGGATTTGCAATAACAATCAATGGATCGATAAAATCGGACTTTATTTTAAATACATTTTCAGATTAGTTTGGATAAAAAATGACCGAAATGCAATGAAGCTCTATGTAAGGCCAGAGCTTTTTATGATACACTCCTAAACCTCTCAAACTTTAAGATAATTGAAATGCCAACATCAGAAACCCTGAGGGCACCAGACTGTTCATGAGCTGGAGGCAAATCTGATCTATTAGAAATATAAAAACCCAAGACAAGTTTTTTTTCTAACTAATTACCCACCTTTAGAATCAACTCTAACAAAAGTAAACCAACATGCAGAGACTTAAAGACACACAGAGCAGACTTTTGTTGTAAGCCATGGTGAAGATAACACATGCCTGTAGTTAGGGCTGGGCGATAAAACGATAATGATATATAACAATAATAAATTTTATTTATAACACACTTTAACAGGTGCTCAAAGACGCCTTACAGAGAAAAGAAGAAAATAAAAAACACTATTTAAAATACAGGAAAACTTTGATGAATAAAACCAACGATGTAAAAGGTTAAAAAAGACACAATATGAGAAGACAACAAAAGAAGAGTTCACAGGTTAAAAGCCAGTTTAAAAAGGTGTTTTTAGGGGTGATTTAAAAGTGTGGGGGTCAGTACAGTCTCCGATGGGTTTTGGGAGTGAATTCCAGAGGGTGGGGGCGGCAGCGGAGAAGGCTCTGCCCCCCCATATCAAAAATGAATTCCCCTTGATATCGATATGAAACATAATCAATATGCTTTTCGATAGGCGGTATTCTGCCATGTTTTGGAAGAGAATACAAATAGCCAATGAAAAGAGGAGCTGCTCTGGGTCTGCGCCACGCTAAACTGACCATTCAGTCCGCTTTCTCTAGCACAACACCTTACGACAAAACGTCAGAGACACAAAGACCTCACAGATGCAGTCGCTTATTGTATTGCAAAAGACACGCTACCAATAAACTGTTAAATTTGTTTTAAGAGTAACAGGGAACATTTAAGATTGACAAGTAATTTTTCATATCATGATCAACTTTTTCCCGTATCGCCCAGCCCTACCTGTAGTCCACTAACATTAACTTTCACCCAGACCCACCTTGTGTGCACTCTGCAGCGTCGAAACTAGGACTGGAGTGTCGAAGCTCACGGCTCCCTCGATGCCCGCCGGAGCGCCTACAGGAGTCGTGACCGGGCTGGGGCTCAGGCTGGAACTGGACACACCAGAAGAAGAACTGGGGCCCGTGCCAGGAGAAGCTCCCGGGAACGTGGGGACAGCGCCAGGCAGCAACGCAGCAGGGTTGATCATCAGATTGGCCTGAATATGAGATCAGATACAACGGTGAAGAAAAGACAAAAACCTCCCCGGGTCTCTCTTTAGACTTAATCAAGATTTGAAGATATTGGTATTTGAAAGACTCGACACGGCACATTTACAGCCTCTCTCTTTCTCAGTGTCCCAAGCAGCAGATCATTCAAAGGAAAATAAAGCCAAGACTGTGGATGGAAATGAGGCGAGAGCAAGATGAAGTTGCATCTTATGAAACTGAGACATGACATGAGCGAATTCTTCCAGGATGGAAAAATCAAAGTCAAATGATGACAGTCTTCATTTTGGAAGTCATGCGTCTGTGTCAAAGCAAAGCCCAGAGAAAAGGAAACTGTTCAAGTGGAAACAGAAAAGTCCTTCCTCAGGAGGAATCAGGGTGAAATGTCAGATATTAAGAACTTCAAAAGAAACAAAAATATTACTTGGAGTTTCCCAATCCTTGATGAGGAATCTTTAGGTTTTACAACACTTGGAGCAGGTTTCTGTGTGGTCAGATTACAGCAGGTTCAGAACTTCAAACATGATGGCATTTCTCTTGTTTTTATCAGACACTGACTCTTACAAACTACATTTGTCTGTCACGCAGTATTAAAAGGTTGATTAAAAAAACTGCTAAAACAAGAAATAATAACCCTTAATAGAAAACAAATGGCCGTATGTGCTATGTTTCAAAAAATAAAAACAAAAACATGCATGTTGGTGCTTCAGTTACACTAAACCCTTAGATTATCTCACCTTAATCTCTGCTACAGACTCTGGACTCGCTAACGGCGCTCTGTCGTTTGGTTTACTGGGTTTTTCTGCAACTTTCTGGAATTAGACAAAAGAACAAAGAGCTGAAAGTCCTCCTACTTGAACTCTGGGCTGAGTTATGCAGAAATTCAGCTTAACTCTAAATCACAACAAAATAATTAGATGTTTACTGGAGGAGGGGCTTTCGGCTTGATGGACCCAAAGAGGTCGTCCTCGTCGTCATCTGCGAACAGACTCTGTGCTGCCGGCTTCGTCGAGCTGAGCTTGGAGCTCTGAAAAGAAAAACACAGTCATGTGTCTCTCCTAGCTGAGTGGAACACATCTGCACGCAAGCACAGTGTGCAGCTCATGAAACATGTGACCCGCAGAGAAAAAGGAGCAGACTCAAACAGATAAGAAGGTCGGTCCAAACTGACCGAAGCTTTTCCTGAGGTTGCGAAGAGATCCACATCTGGGTCATTGTCCTTCTGCTGCGTCTGACTGAACAGCAGCTCCTCATCCTGAAACACACCTGTGCTCTTCGTCTGTGTTCGTTCTTCTGTGGACTGAAGGAAAAAATACACATATTGAGGACAAAACCTTGTGCTAATGCTATCAGACTTTTTTTTTTAAAGGTATCAGAAAAGAAACAAACCTTTAGTGTGTTTTTTGTAGTGGGTTTACTGGGAGTGAATATGGAGTCGTTCCAGTCTGAATCATCCACCTCGTCGTCATCGAACAAACTGACGGTTTTTACTTTCTCCTCTTTCTTCTCCTCCTTCTTCACAGCTGCCGGTGGGCTCTCTTTGGTGAGGAAGCCGTCGTCTTGATCGCTTTCATCCAGCGGGCTCTTCGTCTGCTTGCTTGCAAATATGTCAATTCCACCAAAAAGACTGACCGCTCCAGCCGGTTTCTTTTTACCGTCACTGCTCTGCAGCAAGGGCGACGATGACGGGGGCAGCTCGGGGGCAGATGGTTTTACTTGCTCTGGAGGCTTGTCGTCTGTCGTGGACACTGAAACCTCCTCTGATTTCTCCGTCACAGAGGACGACTGAGGGGCCGCAACCGGCGTCTGAAAATAAGCACGCAACAAATTACATCTTTGTCTCAAAATACTGTTTTATGATTTTTGTTTAAATGACCATTTTGGGATAATTTCTTGGCCCTCTGAGGTTATAAATAAACTTTCAAAACTTTAAGAAGGGAAGATTCAGAACGAGAATAATTCAGCGACTATTTGAAAGACAATAAAGAAGTTAGCGGTCTTACTTTAGACGCTGGGGCTGCAGTGTTTGTGTTGACTGTAGGTTTGATGTCAAAAAGAGATCCTTTATCTTCATCACCTTCATCCTCAAATAAGAGAGCCACTCTCTGAGGTTTCTTCTGACTGTGTGTGGAGCAAAATAACAAGATGTTACAAGGGAAAAGTTAAATCCTGTAAAGTATGATGAGAGTTATTTTTTCCCGTGCTGTGAAAGGGAAATACCTCGTCTCTTTTGTTGGAGCGAACAGATCATCGTCGTCGTCGTCAAACAGGCTACTTTTGTGAGACGTTTTGGCACTGGGGAGGCTGGAGGGAGCGCTGACGCTGGGCTTCATCCCTCCTGTCTTGACCTCTGGCTTCTTCTCAGGGCTGCTTTTAGAACTAATCCACTGGTCCTGCCGATAAAACACGCCAGGAGAACAATCCGTTACAATGACCTTTCTAATGTGCAGAACAAAATAATACACTCGCACGCATACCTCGTCATCACTGAAGAGGGAGCCGGACACAGCCTTACTGGGCTGAGGTGCAGAGGCTTTAGCTTGAGTCGGTTTAGGTTTAGATTTAGCTGCAGATGCAAACAGATCCTGCAAAAATGAAGGAACTGATTATTGTCCGTGATTGAATATATAGTAAGAATGAGGAATATAAGTGTGTAACATTATTTTCACCTCATCCTCCTCATCGTCAAACAATGAAAGAGGCGCCTTGCTGCTTTTGTTCTGGCTCGTAGGCTCAGGTTTGGACTGGCTCTTAGGAATGGTTGGAAATGCCTGTGGAGGGCAGATATAAATGCAGTAAAGATAAGAGTGACTGAATCTGGAGACTCATTTGTTTGTGGTGAGGATTGAGAGGTTTACCGGCGTGTCTTCGTCATCAGAGAAAAGACTTCTGCTCTGAGGTTTCGGAGTGGGCTTGACAGCAGCCTTCCCAGCATCTGGGGCGACACCGTTCTGAAAGCACAACATGAAAATGGAAATTCGATTCAAAGCTGAACCTTCTTTTGAGGAGAACAGGGTTTAGTTTTGAAAGAAAAAAGGGCCCAGACTCAAGGGAATTGAACCGTGTCAACAGGAGTAAAAGGCCAGCACTTCACTCAAAACTTAATCGAATTTGGCATTTTCTCAGACTGCGCGCGATGGCGGCGCTCTGAGCAAACATCAATATGCCGTCCTCAGATGGGTCTGTTCATTTAATGGCACCATGTCTGAAAATGAGCGTCTCAGGGATTGTAAGAGCAGGCAAGACCATACAAACAGAGTGTGACTGTGAGAGCTCTGGAGGTAGGTCCACAGTGTGTGTTAAAACGCAGAGTAAAACCTTTCATCATATGGACGACACCGTCTGCGCACACAGTGTGGTGATTGAAGCTGAACAGACTCTTGTCTTTCTCAGAGCAGAGGCTGCCACTTAACCTGAGAAAACACACCAAATGTGATTTTGTGCGGTGTATATTGTTAGACAATACTCTTTTCAGACCTCTTCAGATTTTTCAGATTCCTCGCTGGTCGACTGTTGGCGTTTTTTCAGGCCCTCGATCAGCAAGCTTTTAGTTCCTGGACCGAACATGGAGATGGCCCCGACTGGCAGCTGAACAAAACACATGAAAAGATCCTTTTTCTTCCACAAGACATAAAAGATAATGTATCATATTCTTAAAAATAATATCAATGCATCAGATTTTTTTAGAGCTTTTTATCAGTGACCTCAAAGCGCTTTACATTCATTCGATTGACCCTAACTTAATTTTATGCCAGAATATCCCTTTAAGAGTCTGTGTTAGCGGGTTAGCCGGTCACGTTTGCTCAATATGTTTCTAAAGATTTTAAACTAATGAAGGGAAATGTGACCGATTTGACAAAGCCTGTTCATTTTGGTAGATTAGTGGAATTCAAAAAGTAATCATTTATTATCTATAATTTTCCATAATGTCATAACTTTTGTGTTTCATTGTTGGTAAATGCTAATTATTAGGCATGTGATTATCTTTACCTTTTTCTCAGGATGCTTCACCTGCTCCTCCACCACCTCCTTCTTGTTCTGAGCTGGAGCAGGTGCGCTGTTCTTCTCACTGAATATGTCCCCATCCTCGTCATCTTCATCAAAGAGATCCACAGTTTTCTTGGCTTTGGGTTTCTCTTGTACGGCTGACAGGGAAGGAAAAACAATCAACTCCCTGGAACGTAAGCAGCAGCAAAACTTAAGAGCCTGTTCTCAGATAATTACCAGGTTCAGGTTTCTTCAGGCTTTTACCGCTGAAGAAGTCATCATCCTCGTCTTCCTCATCATCAAACAGCCCACCTCCTCCTCCTCCTCCTCCTGCAACCCCAGCTGCCGTGGGAGCCTGTTTGGGAACGGCGCCGTTCTCCTTGTTCTCCACTGGATCAGAGTCGTTCTCTGAGCTGAACAGGTTGTTATCTGGAGAGTGACAGATTTGATTTAGTCAAGGAGGATGAAGAAGACAAGGAAGTTTCATGAGCTGTCATACAAATTAATCTGAGTAGATGCTTTTACCGGGGAATATTGCAACGGCGCCGGCTGGGATCTTCTTTGCAGGTTTGTCAGATTCTGAAAAAGGGACAATTTTCTGGTCATTTTTTCCCCTCGAACTTTGAACACCATCTGGATACAAACTAATTTCTGTAAAGTGGCCACCAAAGCTTCTTACCTGGAGGCTGAGCTGGGGTTTTAAAGCTTTCGTTCAAAGCTTTTTTCTCTTCAGATACAGGAGGTTTGGGTGCCTCAGAGAAAAGATCACCCTGAACGGCAGAGCACATACAGCCAAAATCAAATTACGGCTGCAGCCAAGAGTTACTGTAACACGACCCTGAACTGAGTAAGAAAGAAATATGACAGTCATTTGGCCGAGTGTACCTCATCATCGTCATCAAACAGACCCTTGCCTCCGCTGAAGAGGCCACTTTTCCCTCCAAATGGAGAGAGGTCGTCTTCATCCATCTTTGGTGGCTTAAATATGTCATCGCTGTCCTCTTCAGCTGCTGTTCCAGTTCACATAAACAGTATTAGTAGAAGAAAAAATTCAATGGACCTACAGTGGGGCTGACTCATGCGAAATTAAGCAAAAATAATATTTGAATGTTTGTTTTTGATGAGAGATGGAAGTCCTACCCTGAGGCTTTACGGCCTTTGTTTCCTTTCTGCCTTTAGTCTTCTTCTTAGATGTTATTGCTTTCGACAAACACAAAACCCATGAGCATGCACATGCAAAATGGCCCTTGGCATTCAAATGTAAATGTTCTTGCTATTTTGTGTAAAGAGTGAAAAAAACGTGAAATGTAAATTTAAAAAAGGGGATGATACACTAGAAGTGGCTTGATAACGGTGACTTACAGGCTCGATCTCCCTCCGGCTTTTTGATTGGTTCCCCTTTGATTCGGGCGGCGAGCTCATCAGCGAAAGACGATGGGCCTGTGTTCTGAGTGCGACATTAAGACATCATGAAGCCACACATAAAACCACAAATCCAAAGAGTTTCACCTCTTAATTAAAAGTGTTACCTTTGAGTCTTCATCATCATCCCTGTCAGATTCTCCAAATATGTCTGAATCCTCGTCCTCCTCCTCTTCATCATCATCGTAACTCAACATAGACGTCTTCTGCGTAAATGAAGGGGCGGATTTTAGGATGATGAATTTCTCTATTTGAAATGTTTGTAGTGTTGCTGGGCATGAAGCTTACCTTCTTGAGATTACTGTGATCTTCATCCTCCTCCTGAATAAAGTCATCATCAGAATGCTATTTTAAAAAAAAAGGAAAAAAACACATGGAAAGAATTAGGCAGGATTTTCCTGACCAAGATACCAAAGTGAAAGTTCAAATTCTCTGTTTCTTACGTCTGCTTCTTTTCCTTCGTCACTCTCAATCACACTGTCTCTGTCACTGTCAACCGACATCTCTGCAAAGATAATCACGCACACATGTTTAGACAAAATAACACATTGAATGAGGACATGTAGAAGCTACAATAAGCATCATACCATCACTGGAGAGGTCACCAAGTCCTACATCCTCCTGTTCCATAAAGGCCTGGGAGCCAATCAGGTATGGAAGGGGCCTGTCCACATAAAGGTCCTGAAAAACGAGAGCAAAGACAAACACATATCATTTTTGGCACATCTAAAGTAACTGCGGTTTTCCTAAATCAAAGATGAAGAGCGAACCTTCGGCTCCAGGATGGCCTCCACTCTGTCTGTGAGGTCGTCATCCTCTGAGTCAGAGTTTCCTGCTTTGATGTCCAGATGCTCGAAGGCCGACTCCAGCACACTCAAACCGTAGTTTACAGCCTCCTGCATCTTTGGGATCAACTCGGCCTCTTTCTGCTCTCGAGTCTTCTCCTTAAAAGGAGAAACATAGAGGCATGCACATAATTTATAAAGGGCCCTATTACACTAACCCTGGAAAGCATTGGGAAAGTAAAACAATGCTGGCAAAGGTTAGAGGTAGGAAGGATCGTTGATTTTTACCTGCTCTGGCTGCTTCTCAAAAGCTTCAGCTTTGGAAATCGTCTCTTCCACTTCCTCATCGTACACTCTCTGAAACAGGACACAATGTAAGACGACCATTTTGTTAGACAGAGTATAAAACATTAGGTTTTATTACAGGACACCCTGCAACAGTTTGGGCTTCGTAATTTAAAAAAACAAGAAGACTAAATAATCACTAGCAGACTGAAGCAGAACTCAAAAGAAATAATTAATGGACATTACATTTTCTATAAACTGTGTGTTTGAAAGCATGAGGAAGTCGTTGAAGACAGAATGCAAGCAGCTGTCTGTGGCCTTAGTGTCTCGGATCAGGCTGTCCATCTGCTTTTCAATCTCATGCGTCTTTGACAACATCCTCTGGGAGAAGTCTTGGAGGAAGAGAAAGAGCTGACGAGAAACAAAAACAGAAACCGTCACACAGGTGTTAAGTTTGTTTTATTCATCTACCACAGCAAATCAATCTTTATTATGAGTAGTTCATTTTAAAGCATTGATGAGACAGTAAGACAAACAGGGTATTGAAGGGTCTTACTCCTGAGTCAGCTGCCAGGGACCAGTTGGCACTGCTTTGCCGCATCTCTTCAAGAGTCCACGGTCTCTCCCAGATCTGAGCATCATTTTGAAAGAGTTTACCCCTGCTCGGGCCGTTTGTTATTCCCTCCTGAAACTCGCTCATCTGCAATCAGATTGTTGTTAATGTACTAACTCTTTTCAACAAGAATTAAAAAAATAATAAATGCAGTAAAACTTCAAGCTGGATTAATTTAATACATGCATTTGAATGTTTGAATGAGTGACTGAACACACAATATGCAAGATCAGCCCAACAGAAAAACAAGTGTATAAAAACTAAAGGTGCACCGATCACAATATTCTGACTGATCACCGATCTTTAAAAAGCTTAACCTGCTGATACTGATTTTGGCCGATACCTTTTTTATTTAATAACTGACAATATACACCTTCGATGCTCCGAACTTATTTAAATGAAAAACATTAAACACTACTTGTGGAACAACACAAACCTTTTTGTGATTGTTTTAACTGCACATTAGGTAGTTCTCTCAAAAGTGGTTGCTAGTCTTCCTGGGGTCACAATACAATTATATTTCAACAATTAATTAATAATAAATACAATTACAGATTCAAATCATGATTCTTCACAACATTAAAACATTAAAATCACTCCAAAATCTGTGCTTTTATGTTGAATATTTCTGTCTGAACTACTACATTATATCAGTTCCTTTCGTCTTGTATTTTACACATCTTAAAAAATTAATAATACTTGCACAATAGATCACACTGCAGGCCTGTTTTGAGCCTCTTACCAAAATAAAGTGCACAGCAGTATTCGGCTTTTACAAATAAAGGAAATCACAAGGTTTGAGGAAGTTAGTGAAATAATAATCTACAGGACAAACTAAACTGGTGGGCGGGCCTGTCATTCTAGCAAAAGCAAAAAGCTACAGGCTGACTTCAGACCTTTGCTGAGGTAGATAAGATCGGTGGATAAAATCGGTTTTATGTGTAAGGATCAGCCGATCACCCCAAATTGAGGAAATCGGCGCCGAGCGATCGGCCGACCGATTTATCGGTGCTTGGTTTTTTTTACCTTTATTTATGTTTTTTTTTTTTTACCTTGGTTCTTTATCAAGCTCTGATATCTTGAAAACAATGGTAGATACAGCGTGTTAGGACTGGAACAGGACTTTGGCATGTCCCCACAGAATCAGGACTATCAGCTGGTCTGAATAAATCATGGACGATATCTCCGGCTCACTAAACAATCAATATGAAGGACTGCTCCCGATCCAAAGGTTTGAATAGAGTCTCTGTCAGGCATGATGATCATGTTTTTATTCTGTCAGTGGACTAAAATCTCACAATACAAAGCGCTGATCCTCTGAATTACAGTGGGGTCAGTGTGTGTGTGTGTGTGTGTGTGTGTGTTTATCGTGTGTGTGTGTGTGTGTGTGTGTGTGTGTGTGTGTGTGTGTGTGTGTGTGTGTGTGTGTGTGTACTGACGTTGGTCTCCAATCACTTGAATAGCACTCAAAAATTCTTCTTTAGTTCCGATGTCTTCCACCAACTTAAAAGCCGTTAAAACACTTCAACACAGTCGGCGGCTGCTCTGTCACTAACGTTACAAAATTACTCATCCAAAGTTGCGCAATCCTGTTTCCTTCTGCGAGTTTTCACGTTCAGAAAAGCCTCATCTGCTGGAGGAAGCGGGGGACTGTTTGGCTAGCAGCTAACTAGCTTAACTTAGCAAGCCGACTCCACCGTTAGCCCGAGCTGTAACGAGCGACACGCAGGACGATTTTCACCCGAGTTTAAGCGCCCACGCACTTACCTTGAATGCCTGTGGTCGACTGCTGTCCACGACGATCAACGGCGGTCGGTAAAGCGTGAAAAATAAGATCGATTATGCTAAATTTGGTCTTCTCCTCATTGGTCTTCTGACAGGTCAGCCATGTTCTGTCTGCAGACAGTCACCTGACTACTGTCGCCTAGCAACCGTGTGAAAGTGGGGCGGAGTGCGTTAAACCGACAACAGCCGAACCGAAGTCAGAGCCGAATCTGATTTTCTGCTTCTGATACGAATATTGACGAATGATAACCGTGAACTGTGCAGTGTCGGTTTTTACTCTGCTCTTTGTAAAGTTCTAGATTTAAGCTTACGGGTCAAGTTTTATTGTATTTAGAAACAGTAACTATAAAATAAGTCATTTGAATACTTCAAAAAACATTTCCAATGCAGTTTATTTAACAAAAATCACAAACCTGTGAATTTATAAAAATAAATCAACAAAATATTACTTGGCAACATGTTAGTCAGAAACGTATATTGACATTTCACTGACAGAAAATCTCACTTATAAATCAGAAACTTTCTCACCAGAACAAAGTATTAACATCATTAACCGGTTTTCTTTTTTGAGCATGAGAGCTGAAGAAGAGCTCAACAAAGTTTATAACTACTGTGGGTAGAAAACAGTCATCAAAGAGAACTAATTACTTGGTATTAAGAGACAGTTGACATGTTTTATACACAAGTCGATTGTGAAAATGACAAAATGTAAGGTTAAGCACTATTAACAGGCAGGTATTCATCTTAACAGTGCTTTGTTTTAACAAAAAAACAAGTGCCCCAGAGTAAAATGAGATAAACGACAAGGATACATTTGGACACATATCCACTATAGGGTTATGTGCAGCACATACAAAATAATTGTTTTCAGTTACTGGTTTATGGAGCAAAAAAAAAGTAAAAAGTAACACAGTAAAAATAACAAATTTTAACTCAACAAAGATGGCTGATCCCCCAACAATGTAAAAAAAACCATCTCTAACATAAACGGGTTTTACCAACATCCTTTTGGGATACAAATGTAATAGACACACAACTGAAAACTTCATAGATTGCACACTCTTAAAATGATTTAAATAGAACACAAACATGTTTTTTTTTACATTAAAACGAAAGTGAAACAGTATTTTGTTTCTTGAGCAGCACTGAGCAAAACAAAGATGAGGTCTACGTCCTGAACAGACAGGTTCTCTCCCAAAGTGGCTTTATTTCTCAGTGTACAGTCAAAATCTGTACTGACAATCAAACTTGGAGGCATGAGATTGCCTCATAGTGCAAATTGAGCTTAACATTAAGGCGAACAGAAATCAAGCCTGAAAACAAACAAAATTTCTTTGACACTAATCCCCGACCTCGGCTTGATTACTCTGAGAGCTGCCTCCAGACTCAACATTATTTTCAGTCCTGGCCTCAGTACACTCCTCCTTCATAGCCTCTGTGTGTGCCCCTGTCTCAAGCTTCCCTTTGTTATGGAAACAACGCTCGGTATCCTCTGTCTTGTTTGGCTCATCCATCACATCGTCTCCCTCGTCCTTCTCATCCTCTTCAGCCATCATTTCTTCCTCATTTTCTTCAGCTCCACTAGCTTCCTTCTCCTCAGCCTCTTCTCTTTCATCGTTTTTCGCCTCCTGGTCTTCTTGGCTGCTTTTCAAAGTATCCACAGACAAGGGCTGCCAATAATCATACAGCTTACCCTGCAGGCGGGAAATAGCCAGAGTTAGAGCAAACCCTTGAAGAGAGCTTTAAAACATAACAATTATAAAAACAAGTATAATAGTGATATAATAGTGTGTCACTGCTGTACATTTAAAGGCTTGGTCTTCTGGAGGAGCATCTGCCACTTGGTGTAGATCCTAGCCACCAGATCTTTCACCTAAAAGAAGAAAGGAGGGTAAATTAGAGGAGCACATTACCTCCAGTTTACAGCAAATTTTTTTTTCAAGATGAGAGAGAGAGAGCGAGAGAGAGATTGTTTTTTCGATCAAATATACATACAGTACAACTTTAGGCAAGAAATTCTCTATTTTTTGGAGATCGTAAAGGAGTAGGTTGAAGCTAATTGGCTTATATGTATCTATCCTCATTCCTTCCTATTTGTTTTTATTTCCTAAAACAAAGACCTTATATATACATATATACATCTATACCTATATATACGTATGTACACACAAATATGCACTTTGTATGTATATACACACCTAGAATACTTCAAATCTCTCATGTGTACCATACCCATATATAATATACTAAGTGTGGAAAAACGAAAATCACTTTTGTATGTATTTTTCAATCATACTCTGCTTTAATTTACTTTTAAACTAAAGGAAATCGAGGTCAAGGTTTAAAATTGTTAACATTCACAAACAGGGTCTCTGCAGGTTTCAGGAGGTCAAATTTAAGACTTCTCAAGACTTTTTGAAGACCCTGACGAATACAATTTAAGACCCATTTAACATCCATACTGGTAAAAAAAAAATAGTACAAAAGACGCGAAGGGAAATCAGAACATTTTACATTACTTCAAATCAATCTTTATTCCTATGACACATTATTTATGTAGAGTCAATACATTTTTAAGATGTTTAACATTTATATGACATCTTCATCATGACACACACAAATGCTCAAACTCCTTATCGCTGTAATACTAACCTTGCTCCGGTAGAGACATTTCTCACTCTCTCGGATGTCACACTTCACGTGCATTTCCAGCTCAGAGGACAGGATCAGAAGTTGCTCCTGGCGGCACAGAAAGACACAAAATAACTATAACGCAGCACGTCACAAACCAACAAATTACTTCACAACAGACAACAGCAAAAAAAAAAAAGTACCTTTTGATGAGCTGGGAAGAACTGAAAATTAGAAGCTTCCTTCACCAAGGTGAGAAGGCTGTAGCAGAGGTAGTAGGACTGAAAAATACAGACATGAAATGAACAACAACAAAAAAAAAAACATTAGAATAACAAGAAAATCCACTCCCAACAAAATTCAGCTCAGATTATGGGCTTAATGTTTTACTCACTACAAAAACAAGATTAAAACAAATCTTATATAATTAAGCACGCCGGACCATTTTGAAGTTTTAAACATGAACCGCATGATCACCTGTTGGTCCAACATCGCCATGTCTTCTTTATCCCTTTGACTCTTTAGCATTTGTCGGAGAAGGGTGGAGGGCGGCATGCGGGGCAGGAACCGCCTCAGCTCAGACAGCTGATAAGGTAGAGTACAAGGACATGACTTTAGAGACGTAGGCATTTCATAAATGTTTCACACTGAGCTTAAACGATGTAGAAACTATGTCCAGGTTCCACACTGGTACTCACCTGAATCTCGCTGTCTGTCGGAGTGTAAGTACAGTGTCCATCCAACAGTTTGGAGATCATGGACAGGCTTAGATGTCGACGCAGTTGCCTTTATGAACAAACAGTGAGAAAGAGTTATTATGAGTGAGGCCCTGTGATTTATACGATCTGCAATGTGGGAACATGGACAGAATCAAAGAATCTGACAAGACAATGGGATCAACTGTAATATGAGGATTTGTGGAATTTTCCAGGATGTGGGAGTGATACTATCAGGATTTTCACAGCCAATATTTGTGCTTTTTGCAGCTAAATGATCAGAAGACGACTAAGGCGAGACTCTGTACAGTATTTTTTCTTAGTTTAGATCAAAACTTTATCAAAACGTCTTCAAGGAATCATGAAAGCAACTCAAATTGTTGAAATGTTATTCGTGCACCCATGGTTCGACCCTCTACATTAAGATACGGTTACATCCTAAAACACAGAATAAAAAGATTTTAAAAGGGAAAAATGGAATTTACTTTCGACTTACTTTCCGCGTGTGTTGTCAGGCAGCATTTGAATGAGCAGGCACATGTTGTGGTGATCATCTGTCAGATCAGTGAGAGCCGAACAGACCCTGGGCAGCTGATATCAAGAGAAAAAGGACATTACTCACACAGATCAGATTTCAAGTTCTTTTGTCAGATTTTTATGAGTGAATATTCTCCAAGATTATTGAGTGAATCATTTTATTCGATACACTTTTGCTCCAAAAATTTATGATTCGTAACAAACTGCTATCAAGATCTGTCATGACAGAGAGCCACAGTTCACTGCATTTCATGTGATGGCGTTTGCAGGATACCTTTCATTGAATTACATCAGCGTGTCGTGTGGATTTACTGACCATGACGTTCCAGTCCCTGAAGTTATTGACAACCTTGTAGAGCAGAGGATACATCTCCAAGGGGGACTGGAGGATTAGCCGCTGGTCCAGACCCACCTTCCCCACCACTGTTAGCATCAACAGCAGCTCGTCGTCGCTGTAGGCCCGTGGACAGAGGCCCATGCAGTAAGACAAATACTGCACACAGAACATATGGAGAAATGACTCACAGCAATAAGTAATAACCTCTCTATTAAACCCTCTCTCTGAGAAACATGAAAACAAAATGTTCCTCTCAGATTTCTCATTCCCACTGTGCCTCACCTTCAGGATGTTGATGCAGTTGTGCTCAGGGAAAATGCTCTGCTCTTCGTCGCGGGGTGAACTCTCTGTTTTGATAGGGATGTCTTCTCTGTACAAACACACAAATTCAGCATGTTGAATGAAAAAACATTTAAAAAACATAATTAAACAAAGAAAAACGTAACTTACAGCAAATCTCCCTCAGTGAACGGAGGCTGCAGATGCTCAAAAGGAAAGAGAGTCACAAACGAAGCTCCCATGTTCATCAGGACCAGAGCCACATCAGCCAGACTGGGTACCCACACTTCAAACTCCTGCCTTTTGTTTTTCACTGAGGAAACAAAGCAAAGAGAATGTTAGTTCATCCAAACAGCTGTGATGATACACACTTAGCCTCAGGAGTTACACTTACCTATCTGATAAGCGGCAGTGCTGGCAATGTCACAGAGAGTCTGCAGTAGATTTTGAGACAGCATCCTCTCATTATGGACTGACATCATCTGAAAAGGTTATCCGACATTAAAAACCACGATACACTCACTGACAGGAAACCCTCCTGACAAGAAACTGGCATGTGTCAGACCTACCTTGAATAGAAAACGGGTAACCTGAGTCGGACAGGGTGAATGACAGCCGTAGGCCTCATGGAACAATCCAATATTTATGTGCAATCTCAGCTGAGCAGGGCTGGACCTGAAAGAGGGCAGAAACACAGAAGTGAAGAAAGAGAGAGAGAGAGAGAGAGAGAGAGAGAGACGGGAGGTAAGAGTTTGGTTATTTAAACCTATTTAATCGAGAAAATATACAATAAATACGATCAAAACCCCCCTGAAGAAGGTGCTGGATCTTATTGTACTGTTACATTTCACATCTACCTCTATTTTTATGCAGGTGGTTGAAAGACAGAAGCTTGGTTGTCTCATTAATCGTGGCATACAGTGTACGTCTTTACGTCTTTTGAATACAAACAGTTAAATAGATGATAAGATGTCTCCTGTGCAAAAATCCTATAAATTGTCTTTGTCTGTTCAGTAAAGAAAGTTCCTCCTTTTTAAACAGTCTTTTTTGGTGTTGTGTAAAATATTAAGGCTTTTATCAACAAGTTGATCTTTTAAATCTGAGATTCTCTCAGTTGACACACTTTCTGTCAGTCAAAGATCAGCACTTGTGTTTTTGCAGCTGTGCAAACACAGCTGTGCAGAACGAACGACCTGTTAGTGTTTTTTTGTTGTTACCGCTCTTTGCCAGGAGCCAAATCGCCCGCCAAGTTTAGTGTCCTTGCTGTGTTTCAGTGAATGCTTATGGCCGGTGTTTGTCGAAAACAACTCACCAAAGAAGCGTTTTCTGAGCTGCCCCCACTGGGTTGAGCATGCAGTGTCTGAGCTGTAGCGTATCGTGACTGAAGATCTGGCCAAATTTCTCCAGGTTGAACACCACTTCTCCTGGAGGAACCTCCCTGAATGCACAAGACATCAACGAGAATCGCTGCAGGAACTCCCTGGATAAGAAATCACAAAACTCAAACATTTAGATTTACAGCTTTTGTCAGAGTACAGGGTGTTGATGCACGCTTGTGTGTGTGCCTTACTGGTGTTCTGTGGAGATGCCATCATCTTGGTTTTCCTCGGTCTCCTCGTATTCAGCCATTCTCAACAGGTCCTCTTGACATGCCGTCAGGAGCTGTGTCTCAATCTCTTTCAATCTGAAGGATGTGGAGAAAGTTAACTTTCTCATGTGCAGCTGCTGGGACTCCAGTTATACAGTGAATTGTATCACGTTTTCTGATAATCATACTTTCTGTTGGTGTCGATTTCCTTCAGCATCTGATCAAGGCTGTTTTTGTAGTTGCCTGATTTTGTGGTTGGCGGCAAATGCTGCTGTGGAAGACAACAATGAAAATCCAAAAAGAGATACAGATTTCAAGTCTAGTTTAACAGCTTTTTCATCCCACTAGGTTTTTTATGATATGTAAAGAAATTCATGTGTAATGTACAATAAAAACAAACCACTTAGAGCTTACAGTTCTGAGCCTGCAGCTGCGCTGTGCAGGTGTTCCCGGCTCTGAGAAAGCTCCCTTCTCTGGTGTATCTGGGGGCCTGGTAGCTTGCGCCATCATCTCCTGCAAGGACAGCAGCTGCTCGTCGTCGCTGCTATGGGAGCTCTGGGTTAGATCTAGGTCTAACGCCAAGCTCAGGTCTAGGTCCAGCTCCACATCGGTAGGATCCACTTGGTTCAGCTGCCGTATCCCGTCCGTACTCGCCTGCCTCTTCACCGGCGCAGGCTGTGTACAAAGACTTTTGTGAGATTGTCCAGAGGCGGCAGAGTCAGTCTCTAAAGTGCGTGCTCTCACAGTGTTTGACGGAGGAGACTTGTGTTTCTCGTTAGATTTGAGAGTCTTATCCTTGCGGTGACTGCTCAAAGAAAGAGTATGACCGTTTTTGAGTTTAACGTCTTTGCATTGAGGCAAACTGAGGCCATCAGGCTTCAGCCGGTTTAACATTAAAAATGGGCCAGAGAGATTTTGGTGCTCTTGATCCGGTGATGGCAAAGAAATGTTTGTGTCCACTGCATGAGGAGAACAAGTTATTGTGTCATTTTGTGTTTTTCCATCTGAGGATCCAGCAGCAGAGCTGGTTACAGTGCTGGATGAACCATTTTTCTCTGAGGTAGAGGATCTGTTCACTCCCCCTTCTATCTTTGGCTTGAGAGTTTTATGAGCAGGGCTAACAACATATGTCATGGGATCAGGGGTGAAGAGGTCATCTATATTATCTGTGACTGAAACACGTCTTCTTGAGGGGCCTGATTTGCTTCTTTTTACTGCGCAGCAACTCTTAGAATCTGGACTTGGTTTAGAGGTTTGTTTGGGAGTGAAATTAGCAGACTTTCTGTTCTCCTCGCCTTGTTTACATTTGCTTGAGACTGATTTACTTCGATGAGTCTCAGCAGAGTGGTGGCTCTCTGAGTGAGAGGAAGGCGAGCTACAATTGTCTTTTAAAGAAAACAAAGTGCTTGGTTTGTCCGTTTTATCACTCACCTCCCTTTTTTTCTTCAAACTTTCTTCTTCTTGCTTTGGGGACGAACTTAAAACCATCAGTCTCAGAGTATCATTCTGAGTGTGTTCGACATAAGCTTGCTTTGCCCCCATAGCTGGTTGCTTCTGTAAACAAAGTTCAAGTGTTGGCGATGCACAGGGGGGCGGGGTCCCTTTAAGTTTGGGCGATGGCTCTGGGGAATTTTGCACGCCACAAACTGCTTCCTTCCGATGAGAGCAGTCTGTGGGTTTCGGTGTCTGCTCAACACCTAGAGACTGCCTCAGTGATGGTTGTGACACCAGTGAAGCGCTGAGTGAGTTCCCCACGGGAGGCTTTGGTGTCTGCACTTTCCAAGAGTTTTCACCCTGCCGGTGCAGTTTCACAACACTGTGGTTGGAGTCCTCAGATTCCCTCCGTCTCTTCAGATTGCGATTCAAGTCCACCACTAGAGACAAAAAAAAGATTACTCTCTAGAGCAAAAAATTTGGATTTACAAAGTTTTTAAGCCCACTGCAATCTGTCATCAAAACCAAAACGATGCATGAAAAAAAGGGTGTTAATAGAAGAAGCCTCGATCAGTAAGGACAATATTTCTGCAGATTATTTTCATGAGTCTGCTCTGAATGTTGATATTCAGTGTGTTAACACTTTGCAACCTTTGCTTCTATATGTTCTGTTGCAATACTTTGATTTTATTCTTTATATCAGATCTTTCAGGGTAGTATGCTCCTCTGATTTTAACGATTATACTTTATGTATTAGATTGCGTATTCAAATGACTTACTTGGATTATTGCCTGGAATCAACTTTTCACTTGGAGGTGTCTGTTTATGTCGTTGGTCCTGAAAAAGAAAAGAGAGGATGGTTTCACAAAATTTTAAAACAAGACATATATTATCAAATAAGATTTTATTAAAGACTAAGCATGAGAGCAGCCTAAAAGACGAGAATAATGCTGCATTCGAGTTACCTTGGAAGTCAGATGTTGGAGCTGAAAATGACGTCACACCCGAGTTACCAGCGTTTCAGTTCCCAAGTCGATTTTGCTTTTTACAGAAAAAGCAAAATCGGAGGCGGAAACAAGATGGCTTCATCTACGAAAGTTATTTTAGCCGTTGCCTCGTCCTTGTTTTATTCGTAACTGAAACGCTGGTAACTCGGGTGTGATGTCATTTTCAGCTCCAACATCTGACTTCCGAAGTAACTCGAATGTAGCATCTAGGCTTTATTTTCCCCTTAGGTTGTTTTGTGCTCGCACTGCAATACTATTAAGTGGGCCAAAACAGATGCTAATATGGGACTATCCTTATATTATGACCTCACAGTCTCATCTCCCCACTGCATACAGTAGGTAAATAAATATCAAGCTTACTGGTCGCACTTTGCATAATGGGAATGCAACTTCATGATGCCACAAACAAATGGCTCTCACAGCTCTGCCAAGCCAAAACACTCAGACAGAAGTAGACAAGGTAAGACATCAGCTTGGAAAAAAGTGGAGGGGATGAGAAGGACGACTTTCCTTCAGTCCATCAAGCTGGACTCAATTCTCAAAACTAATCAGTTTGTTGGTTTAGTAGATTTCGTTGTATTCTTGTGGTGTAGCAATGCCTGGCACCAGCTTTTCTGCTGATGTTGGGTAGATGGATACAGATGTTAAGATAAGATAGTACTTTACTGATCCCCAGAACGGAAATTACAATATTAAGCCATCGGTTATGAAAAATATCCAGCTGCCCGACTGCTTATGTTCTGACTAGTATATAACTTCAAGAGTGAGGACTCAAGCAAGTGATGACTTGATTGCATTACAGCAAACAAACCACTACAGCATTCGAATGGATGCGTGCCATGACTGTTCTGCCCTACATCCAAGCGTGACTGCTGTGTACACAGATGTCCAAACAAACCCGTCAAGGGAGAGTAAAAAAAAAAGAGCTAATATGATGCAGTACAATGTCTCCAAACAATCCAGGTGTGAAAATGCCTTCAATGTTTTACATAGTACATCATAAAAGATATCTGGCGAGGGGATACCGGGTAGTGGTGTGTTTGGGGTGGCAACATGGTCCTGGGTGCTGGGTGAGGAAGCCGGTTAGGGACCTGCGAGGGCTTCATTGGACTCTCCTGGACAAAAGATTTGAATTGGGACGGGAGTGCATTCACTAAAAAAACAAGACAATATACATTATCATCTTATCATCTCAGGTCTGACACATTTATGTTATTGAACGTACAAAATGTTAACAAGGGTTGGGAAGTGGTGTGATATCTCACCACCATAAGTGAACCAACATTACACTGAATTCCTGTCACTACATTCTTATGAGCACAAAGCCGAACAGCGCCTTTACTTCATCTTTCACGATCAAAGTCAAGCTCATTTCTACAATAGAGTATTAGGACCACAATAAGAAAAAAATATAAGACTTCAAGATTAAATTCATTAACTTATGAGGATAAAGTCATTTCCAACGAGAATAAAGTCATATTAAAGTAATCACTTAAGCGAGTAAAGTCAGAATAAAGTCCTTATATTATAACCTGTTGTTTAAGATGACAGTTGTTGAAATGAGAGCCATGGATCATTTTGTGAAAATCAATATAGGTTTCTCAAACGAGGAGATAATTGATCTTCAGCACTATATCATTACAAGTATATTAGTAGTTGTAGTAGATTATGACTTTATTCTTGTTAGTAATGACTTATTCTCGTACATTAATGACTTATATCTCTAAGTCTTTATTTTCATTGCATTTTCTATTTTCATACTTTCTTTCATTCAGGTAATATTTAAAACATTCAATACAAACAAGGAAAAATCTCAAACATGTGACTGAAAAGGAGCAGAAAGAAGAAAAATCCTATAGAGTCTGCCCCTCTTTCATAAGATATAAATCGACTAAACACGATAAAAATAAACAAGAGCTGCAGGCCAGCATGCCTTTTTACAGTTCATTATTTTTTATTTTAAAAATCAACCCAAAAACAATGTGGCCCTGATACCTCAAAAACACACAACTCAAACAATTTAACAAGTTGTTTTTCACAATGGAAATCTGACCAGTCCTGGTATTTTGCAGATAACATAATTTATCTTTAGGCAGGTTTAACAAATGTGACACTTTTTTTCAATCAACTCTCCAGCCTTTAAAAATGTATTGCCTCTTGTTTAACCCACTGTAATGGGGTGCATCCTAACAGACATCAACACTGAGACACTGACCCACCTTTATTTCTTGGGGTGTTATCTGCAAGTGGTCTGCTGGAAATCGGAAAACAGAGGAAAAACAGCCGATCAGCATCGATTATCGTGGCTGCATTGCATTGTAAACAACACCGCACCATAGCAACCAAGAGGAAAAACCGAAGATGAGAGTGAAAGCGTTGCAGAGCTAACACTTTTCAATCCTCCTGGGTAATACACCTGTTTGTTAACTTTGGGTTAACTACCAATCACGACATGCTACGTTAGGTGACAACATGGGCCCAGCATGAGGGGTGTGTTGCTAAACATCGAGCTGAAACTGAAAGCATGTTACTAGTTAACACAACATCAATATTCTGCGTTATCCACTGACAAAAGTAGGCATTACACTAGGGAGAAAACAGTGTAATTTATACAAGGTGACCAGCCTCCTGTGTGTATAAGTGCTTATGTTAGAGACAGTGAATGGACTTCAAGCTAGCAGTAGCAACAGTTAACATCACGCTGTCTTAGAAACCGACAGAAAGGACAGGTTAATATTGTCCCTGCTACATACTAGCTCTAATTAGGAGCATAATATCATCAGTGGTTACAGTTGTTAGTCCGAAAAGTCCTTACAAATGACCTTAAATGTGATAAAATTGTATATAAGCTGATAGGTGTTTCAGGAAGTGTCCAATTTAGCACCTTGTTAGCCCGCTAACGAATTTAGCATCAGAAACTCCACAGTTATTCTTACCGGGTTTTCCCTTGGTTTTCGATTTCTCTTCTCATTGTGAGGGTTGTGAACGTATTTGTTTCCAACTCAAGGATACCGACACTAACTGACAGACGGTCGCTGGACTAAACTTGTCTCAAATATCATGGTTTATCTCCCGCTCGCTTTAGAAAGAACCGACACACAACCAACCGGGTTGCATCATGGGATTTGGAGTCCAAAGTCTGACGCCCTGTTCAAACGGTCAACCGGGTCAACCATAGACGCAATAAAGATTCATTATTTGTTATCATTATCTATTATTGTTGTTAGATTTATTATGTGTATGGGCTCAACTGATAAACGGGACAACTAAACGAACTGATAGACATGTTAGAATTGTGTTGTACTTAGCTAACGTTAGATTCGTAGTTTTTCACTGAACTCATTCAACTTAAAGGGATATTCCGGCGTAAAATTTATATACGTATAATTTAGGGTCATACACCGTAACTAACACCAAGTTGGACACACCTTTGAGAGATGAATGTTGCCAACCGCTTGCTTCTCTAGTTCTACCAATTTTAGTAACGACCGCACGATAGCAATAAACAGCGGTCTGAGGAGCCATAAACAAACCTCAACCAAAACGCCACTCTGTAGCCATAAGAAATGCTCAAAAACACCACCTAACTTCATCAATTGTAAATATAGGGTCCCAGCCATATTACTTTATAATTTCCTTGAAGTAATAATCCCCATATTAATCATTTTGCACTGCAGACGCGGTAGTTCCTCTGCCTTAGCGTCTCGGTCTGATTGTATTTCCATGAAGAAATTATCATAAATGTTCTTCCTTGAGCTGCGAAACTCCGCAGTAGTCCCTAATGGACTGGCCTAAGGTCTGGCTACAAACAAGCGGCTGCTGCAAGAGAGTAGATGAGTTGTATTTAGTCTCTTTGTGAAAGAAATCAGGTAAAGTTAAAAAAGATGTTTTGTGGCCAGTGCTAGGACCCCATATGTACTGTTGATGAAGTTAGGTGCTGTTCTGAGCATTATTTGTGACTATAGAGTGGCGTTTTGGTAGAGAAGCAAGCGGTCGGCAACATTAATCTCTGAAGGGGGTATCTGACTCGGTGTTACAGTGTTTGACCCTAAATTTATTTAATATATTAATATAAAGGGAATTTCCCTTTAATGAGTGTTTTCGTTTACTCACAGGTTGTTTTCATTTTATCAGAACAGTGTAAGGCCTACATTGATAAGGAGGAATGTGACAAGCCACTAGGTTATCTTTGTTCTGCCAGACAGGTTTGCTATCGTAGTTACACACCTCAAGGTCAACAACACTCATCTATTTCATGGTTCACAATGGGGAAACTAGTGTTGTTGTCATGTGATAACAAGAAAAAAGTATGTTGACATGTTAAGAGAAAAAATGAAATTCATTCCTCATCATCAGAAAACCTGCAACGAAATAGTTGAGATCTGAAAATAGAACTATCATGAGGAAACTGAAGAGATAAAGTCTACAGATCTATGTCCACTCAGGATTTCCAGAGTACACACGTGATCATAGGGGCCTACACTTTTTCAATGAACATGTTTAGTTTTGGAGCCGCTTGTGGACACAGCAATCTTTGCTTATCTGGTCCTCTACCTGCAGAGGTAGTGTCTACAAAATTGTCAGTTTCTTCACAGATAGTCTTGTGTGCCCTTGGTTATCATGAAGCTGTGGGTAAGTATCAGTAAAAGTGAGCCTGATCATTTTGCACTTTTTGAATTACACCTGAGTGAATTTGACGTAAAAATTAGACTAAACTTGGCTATTAAAAGAGCTGCACTTGAAAACATGAAACTTAGATCTCAATATTGGAAGATAAACTGTAGTTTAACTTTAAATCTAGTAAGACTTATACAATCAAACCCATCCACCCGAGCCAATAACAAGACACAAACACATCAGATTTTCATGGTTTTATATGTATTACATCAGGGCTTTCAGGGTTCATTTGACCAACGCACAGAAATGACATGTAAATATGGCAATATGAACTTAATGAGCAAACCACATTCTAACACGCCAAGGCTTTGTATTTGGTTATAAAACCATCAATGCATATTGATTGCCATGTAAGGCAAGCTGTAGGTTTCAATAGCACCAGGAGGCACATAAACACTGTTTCACAGAGAGACAATGACACACCAAAGGGTTTCAAATAAGAACGTTGAAATTGAGAGAGTTTATCTTTACTTAATAAACCCAAATTCTACGGTGGCAACAGTTGTGGAAAGTAATGTCTGGCACAGTTAAATTAGGTTACATAGGTTTTAAGTCAAAGACACAAATACAAACATCTAAGAAACATTTAAAACACACCACAAATATCACTCACAGGCTAAAAAATTAAGACAAAAATGCCTGTTCAGCTGTTGTATGCATCCTTTCCGTCTTTCAAGAGATTGCAAACCCTTTCATTGGTGGAATACATGAAACAAGTAAATGCAAAAGAGAGATAATTTTTCCATCTTTGCAGTGGTCCCTTTAAGGTAAAAAGGTTTCATACAGATGCTGATGAAATATTGGCTGCTAACGACAATAATAGGCTGAAATATTCTTCATATATATCATCCAGTAACTACAATGAGTGTCTTTGCCAGATAAAATTAAAATCAGTGTAATAAAATAAAAATAAGTTTAACTTCTCCACCACTATTAATGTATTTGATGAGTGGTATCTCATATAGATTTCCAGTGAAAGTGTTGGCATACAGGCTACAAATGGCAGTCAGGTCTCCTCTAATATTTCATTTTTTTAGAGTCAAGCCCAGATGTGCAGGAAGTGTCGAAACAAACCGTTGCTGAATCTATTTTAGTAACTGACAGTAAAACTGCAGCCATGATTTCCGATCATAAATTGCCTCTTGACTATTTTGCTAAATATTTAACATCCCAGGGTAAGACACAACGGCTACAGACATTTGTCTTTCAAGGAAAATGAACCAAAACTTAATTCCATTTTCAGAAAATTATGCTTTATGATTATTGTGATTATTGACAGTGCCATTTCCTAGATATTTAAGTGCAAAAGAAAATAAAACTGCAAACTAAATTTTACCTTCGCTGAGGTTATTACAAAGTATTTGCAATCTCTTGAGAGTTTCCTTGGTCCAGCATTTCACCTTCTGTCATCCTTTTAATAAGCAAGCCTTTGACAGCAATCTACAGTGTATTCATGATGTATTATAATCCAAATAATTTAGGATTTTAGAGCATCACTAATCTGAGGCCAGTTGCAGTTACACAGGGGGATCGTTTCAATTCTACTTCTTGGCCTTCCCCTGAGCTGCCACGGCCGCCATGGCTTTGCGAACGGTCTCCTCGTCTCCCAGGAACTGCATTGGTTTCAAGGGCTTCAGGTTCTTGTCAAGCTCGTAGAGGATGGGGATACCTGTTGGCAGGTTTAGCTCCATGATGGCTTCATCTGACATTCCTACAAGTGGAAAGACAATACAAAATTTAAACAGTTAAAATTGTTTTTTCCAGTAACAACTAGTCAAAGCAGAGAGTCAGAGTAAACATGGGGAAAATAAATGAGCTATAAAGCCCAGCCTATGTTAACACTAGTGTCACCAGCTCACTGAAGATAACTGCAGAAACTTTGTTGTAACACCACCCACCCTCAAGGTGCTTAACAATCCCCCTCAGACTGTTCCCATGGGCAGCGATGAGCACCCTCTTCCCCCGTTTAATCTGGGGAGCCACCTCCTCGTTCCAGAAAGGCAGGGCCCGGGCAATGGTGTCCTTCAGGCTCTCACAGGAAGGCAGCTGGTCCTCTGTCAGGTCAGCATAGCGACGGTCCTGCAGGAGGGAAAATCTTAACATATACTGGATACCAGTGGTTCTCAACTGGTCTTATTCTGGGACCCACATTTTCCCATGGTCCTTAAGTCGTGGCCCACTTTTATAAAATTCAAAACAAGCATTTGTCTATTATAAAAACAACCTTTAAAGACTCAAATCTTTGACATCAATACACCTATTTTATTGAGTAACATGCGTTTCAGAGCACATGACTGCCATCACTTTCTGGTACATTGGCCTCACAGTTAAAGACAGGACAGCCCTGCAGGGGGTCATAGAACGGGCACAGAAAATCATCGGCCGCCCCCAGCCCTCCCTGGTGGACATTGCAGACTCTCGGGGGTTCAGCAGGGCAAGGAGAATTCTAAATGACCCATCCCATCCTGGCCGCAACCTCTTTGCCCTGCTGCCCTCCGGAAAGAGATAGAGTCTGGAGGCACTGCACAAATAGGCTCAGGAACACTTTTTACTCCTGGGTCACCAGGCTGTTAAACAACAATATCTGCAATACATGAGTGATGTGTGGATGAGAGGAAGGTTAAGTTCTCTTTTAGAATGGTACATTTCATTATTTAAAGTTCTTTTAGTGGGCCGTATTATATTGTTTTTATACTGTGTGCTTTTTTAACCAGCTGTTCACGACCCATCCAGAACATGTCCGCGACCCACTTCTGGGTCGGCATCCACCAGTTGAGAGCCACTGCTGTATACTGTTGGCCCATATGTCAAAACATCATGCCAAAAGATCTGAAAAAATCCTGTGTGGAAACACACTGTGCATTTGGCAAAAGAAAGGGTTTTTAAATTTTTGTTTCTGGACAAAAGGCGTGACACTACGATCAATTTACCATCTGCATGAAAAACATAATTTCTCCTTTGAACGGTTGTCATACCCTCTTTTATGCAGACAACATTATCTTGAACTCAGTAAGATAGGTGGCCTCCTGCACTGAGGTTTTAATCTTTAAGAAACATACCAACATATCTTAAATATTACTGCATTTGTGGACACCAAAGGCTTCAGTCTCTCGATTGCATCTTCTTTCCTGTCTTTACTGAGTCTGACTAGCTTGTTTCTCCACTCTCTGAACTTTGAACTTGAGCCTATCAGGACTCACTCTTGGCAGTGATACATTAACTCATCTTGGACGTACTATTAGGTAATAACACCGGAGCGTATACAACCAAACAAAAGAGGGGCTAGACCTTCAGTGTGTGGTTTTAGGTCTGGGATTACAGAAAAATGTATTTAGTAAATTCAAGCTGACTGTACTGTGAACCTAAAGTTAAACACACCTGAGCTTTATTCACTGTTTCCACGCTTCTGCTGATCTCTCTCAGCTCGAGCCATGCCTCCTTTTGTTACGCTTGCTAGTTTATCAAGTGTTTCAACATGTACCAGACATGCTTTTATCAGCCACCAAAGCTCTATTGTGAGGTCTCTATTGTGTTGATATCATGTCCTACCTTGCTGATGATAGTGTAGAAGTCATGGTCTGGACCCATGGGGGGAGGAGGGATGTCAAACGAACGCCTCCACACCTTCACCTGAGCCTCTCCATGCTTGGCAGCTGTCTCAGCCTTGTTTAGCCCTGTCAGGCCTCCATAGTGGCGCTCATTGAGACGCCAGGTCCGATGCACCGGCACCCACATCTGGTCAATGCCATCCAGGACAAGCCACAGAGTCCTGATGGCTCGCTTCAGCACGGAGGTGTAGCAAATGTCAAACTCAAAGCCAGCATCTATGAGAGGCAGAGACACAGAGGTTTGACTTAAAACTGCTGAAAAGAAAATGTAACTGGGAGACTGTCGTGGTTTCTTTCAGCTTCCTTCAGTTTCTTTTGTGAGAAACAAGTCACCACCAGTTTCTTTAAATACTTTTCAAAACATACAGTGAATATAGTTAACCTAGCTACAATTACAAGTTGAAGTATTCAACCTGCTTTGAATCGAAACACCTTCTTTGTTAACTCATTTGTACTTAAGCCTGTGAAATGAAATAAACATAGATATCAACAAATTCTGCAAAAACCACATTCATGTCTCTTTGTCTGGCAAACATGCAAAACTCCCAAGATATCGTATTTACCGTCTCATGCGTCTACAGATGGAAAGGAACTTATTATATTCACTCACGTTACCATAACAGAGCAGCTTTCTTGTATTTCTTTGAGTCGTAAAATTGATCACTTTTACTTAAATATTTTCTGCTGAGAGTGTTTTGCTTACATATATTTTACAGATGATCAGATACTGAGTAAAAGGTATTGATGATTGGATGCTGAAAACTCAAATCCTACTAAGTAAATTTGATTCAGTGCAAATCAAACTATCTCATTACACTTATTTTGAGCTATAGCAGTATGGCAGGTTTATATGTATTAATGTATACACACGAGGTCTCGCTGCAAACAAGCGGCTGCTGGAAGAGAGTAGGTGAGTCGTGTTTAGTCTCTTTGCCAAATAAATAAGTCAAAGTTAAAAAGATGTTTGGTGGCTAGTACTATGGCTGGGACCCTATATGTCCTGTTGATGAAGTTAGGTGCTGTTCTGAGCATTATTTGTGTCTATAGAGTGGTGTTTTGGTTGATGTTTGTTTATGGCTCCTCAGACCGCTGTGCATTGCTATCGTGCGGTTGTTACTAAAGTTGGTATAACTAGAGAAGCAAGTGGTCGGCAACATTCATCTCTCGAGGGGTGTCTAACTCGGTGTTACGGTGTGTTTGATTCTAACTTAATTTAATAGTAACCCTTTAAGAAGAACATTAAAGCACTTTTTCCACTCCTGCATGACAAAATGACAGCATAATGAGATTAGAGAGGACGACACAAATAATCAGAGTTTGGAAAAATTACAAAAGCAACACATTAAGTGTTTAATTCAGCAGTGATTCACCTTATTCATATCGATTTACTGTCACTTGCAGCTGTACCAACACCACAGTCTGGTTTACTCCTGCAGTATCTGAAGGCTTGTTTATCGCCTATTAAAGGAGATTTTTCCTTGTTTTCTTGCTGTAAAAGTAAAATAAATGAATTTTTTCGCTGACTGTCCCGCTCTGTGGCCCTGTACACAGTGTACCGGTGCAGCCACACAGAGGGATCACTTCTGCACGTTTGCACATCTTCCACGATCAGGGGGCGGAGGTCTGTGGACTGATGCAGAGGGGGATTATGTAACCGTGGACACGCATTATCCCTGCGCGCTTCACGGAAATACCTCTGTGGATGTTGGGAGAAAACAAAAGTAATGTTTTCCTCTTACCTTTCAGGGCCTGTCCTCCCCTTTTCGCCTCTTTAACTCCGGTTTCGCTTAGATCTGCATCGAACCAGCCGCAGAACCGATTCTCCTGGTTCCAGCTGCTCTCTCCGTGGCGAATCAGCACCAGTTTGTAAGCCGCCATTTTAACACTAAACTGCACTGTTTAGATCAAGTAAACTCCCAAATGAAGATAGTTTCGAGGATGTTAGATTGAGAACACCTCCAGAGGAGAAGACAGGTTCACACTGTTGCTGTCACACCGGTACAATCTTTTATTCAGTGGATTGGTTTACTCGGCTGCTTCCGGGTTTTAGGGACCAATCACATTTTGCGGAGCGCTGTATCTTTTGTTTCTCGACCAATGAGAGCGGTGGGCGTCAGCGGTGGGGACTGTACCCTGACCTTTGTACTGTTCATTGTACTAAATTGACTTTTTGTGTTTTTTAAACTCACTTTAACGGCCTACTCTACCTTTCTATTTGTCTATCATGTAAAATAATGTGTATTTGTTTTACTTTATTTAGTATTTTATGAGTTTTGCAGATTCTGAACCGAGGCCAGACTTGTTCATGGGAGGGAAATAATAACTTCCAACCAGTGCGACACAATTTCCATGTATTCCGAGACGCAACGTGTTAAACTGTTGCTTCATACACTCAGAGCAGGTCATTTTAGACCACAGTGGTGAAGCACCAAGGCAGATTTAAAGGGGATTGTTTCATGCTCATTTCAGGCTTAAAACTGTTCCTCTTCATATCTTTAAAAACCCTTATTTCAGCCTTTCTGAAACAATTCATTATTGACACTGTCTTTCTAAGGGCCCCCAACACTCCAGAACCCAGCACTCGAGAATTCTCCTCCACTGTTGCCGTAGATGCCAGTTCATTGTGGTAGCCATGATCTTTTATAATATTTGTGTTTTGTGTGGTTATATACGGGGATGAGTGTCACGTGGTGTGGGTGGAGGTAGTACGTCAGCACCGGTAGTGGTAAGTCAGCTGTTCACCTGGCGGGTTTTGTGGATGAATGTAGAGGGTGTGAATGGGGAAGCCCTACTTTTTGCTGACCGCTTGTGTTTCGCTGTTTTTCGTCTGTATTTCGCCTGATTTTGGAACAACTGTCCTTTTCTGTTTCATGTAAGTGCTTTGACTTTTGCATTAATAAATCTACAAACGGGGATACAGCCTGTTTTTTGAAATGTATACATCCAGCGCGTCGGGCAAGGTACCGTTTTTCCTCACTATATTCAGCCTCTCGGCGGCTAAATTGTTTTGGATAGTCGCCATACAGTTGCCTTGTTTCAATGTCCATACATCCATATGATCAGATGTTTGAAGGGATATTCCGGCGTAAAACTATGTTAGAGTCAAACACACCGTAACACCAAGTTAGACACCCCCTCGAGAGATGAATGTTGCCGACCACTTGCTTATCAAGTTATATCAACTTTTGTAACGACCGCAGGATAAATACACAGCGGTCTGAGGAGCCATAAACAAACCTCAACCAAAACGCCACTCTATAGCCACAAATAATGCTCAGAACAGCACCTAACTTTATCAACAGGACATATAGGGTCCCAGCCATAGTATTAGCTACCGAACATCTTTTTAACTTTGACTAATTTCTTTAGTAAAGAGACTAAACACAACTCACCTACTCTCTTCCAGCAGCGGCTTGTTTGTGTGGAAACCTCAGGCAAGTCCATTCCCGAAGTGGGGTGACGCAGCTCAAGGAAGAACATTTATGATCATTTCTTTATCATTTCCTTGAAGTAATAATCTTCATATTAATCATTTTTCACTGCAGATGCGGTAGTTCTTCTGCCTTAGCGTCTCAGTCTGATTGTATTTCCATGAAGAAATGATCATAAATGTTCTTCCTTGAGCTGCATCACCCCGCAGCAGTCCGTAATGAACTGGCCTGAGGTCTATATATTTACCTCCAAAATTGAAATTTGCCCTGGTTTTAAAGTTTAACTTGACCCGGTGCATGATACCAACTCTTCAAGACATGATTACCAAGCTGACTCTTCAGTGTCAAGTTGCGAAGTATTGTATCAGTTTGTTGAAACCTGCAGAAAAACACTTCACTTCAGTAAACTGGACTATGCTGAGTCCTGTTATTGACAGGGATGCTGATTAAAGGAAATGAGAAAGGCCCACATTAAATTTAAAGAATGAGAGCCTGCTGAGGTAAAATGAAAGAGACAGGTCCACATTATATCATTCTGTGTCTCACAAAGTCAGAGATTAATTATCTTAATTCTACTGACAAATTAGCTAATCTTGCTTAGACCATTGTAGAGTAACATTCTGATGCTTGCCTGTCATCGCAGTTTTCTCTGTAAGATATGTTAAAATGATGCCAAACATGAACATGGACAGAGTTGTTTTTCACCTACAATTTGTACTATGAAGGTACTGGGATAGCTTTAAAAGCGTACTGTGGTGCAGAACTGGTTTTGTTGGCCCCTATATCATTTGTAAAATATATCGTTTACTATTGTAGGTTTACTGTTTAATGTTTTCTGTTCTCCTTCCTTAAGTTATTATGATTAAGTACCATTCAGACTTAAAGGCTGGGGCTGCACAACTGATTCTGATTTTCTTCATGATTCTTATATTATATCTCATGCAGAAGTTAAGACACCATCAAAGCATTTGAGTTTGGAGCATCTCATCTTCCATCAGTGAAGACTTTTGCGAGAATATGAGATCCAATCCAAGCAGCTTTCTGTGAAGTGTATATAATCAAAAACAAACCTGCAGCTCTTTTACGCCTCCTAGTGGGTCAGCTGACTCATTGTGTGCAATCTTGAAAAGCTAGGAAAAATGCACAGGGTGTAAATCACGGTAAAATTTTTATACACATATGTCTTCAATAAGAAGACAAACTTTCAAACTGTTTGTAGATTTCTTTATCCGATCTTTTACTGTACTTTTTTTTCCCTCAGGAAATTACACAGTCTCCCAAAACAAACTGTGTGTTCTTAGAGTGTGAGAATACTCATTTTCCAGTTGAACATAACACACCGCAGTCTTTGGCACATTTACCTACGTTATGACCAGAATGATTATGGTTTCAACTTAAGAGAAATTAGGTTTGTAAGTGTCTTGTTTTCCTCAAACAGCAGTGTGATGTAACAGAGAGTGTTGGCTACTGTGTGAAAACTGTGGGAAAAGTGACGCAGGGGAACAGATCTGAGCCATGAGAGCTTCTGTGTTTGTTCCTACATGTGTAATTCTGCTTTAGAAGCTGTGTTTGCGAACCGTTTCTTGTTTTAGAGTGATTCACCTTTTATTTTAGTCACAAAAAAAGGAAACCATCTTCACTTCCTGCCTCTGAGATCATGTTTTCGTGCAGCACAGATTACACACGACAAGTGAAGGAGATGTTGCTAATTTTCTAAAACACGCAAAAGAGCTAATAAATGTTAGACAGGAAATTAGTGAAATTACCCTCCCAGTCTCTCCCTCCCCATGTGTCTAACTTTCTCCACATCCAGGCGTAAGTTCTGCAGAGTTGAGGAAGCAGTGGCATTTTTTAGGGCTCTATAAATAGTCTCATTTCCCACCGCTGGCTGCCATCGCCCTCACGCAACTCCTGAACACTGAGCCCCATTCAGACCTATCGTGTGGGCAAAAGCTGCTGCGACAGATGTGGAACCAAAAACTCCCGTCACCATGTTTGGAAACTCTAAACTGGCGAGTGTCCGAGAAAAGCTACAAGGCCCGGGACAGTGTGCTGATTCATGCCTCGCACACAGGAAATGTCAGTCTCAGAGTCCTGCCCGGGTCTTTACGTCAGGCATTTCTGCACATCTTTTCCTCTCTCATTGCTCATTCACTTGTTCTGCCGTCCTCCATCTGTTTTCTCAGCCCCTCTCCTCTGCTGTGGAATGTGCACCTCAGCAGGATTTCATGAAAGTGCGGTTAACGCGGCACTGCCTCTCGCATGTGTCTGTGTTTTCATGTTTCGTGTGCCTACTTGTAGACTCCTGAAGTGAGACAGGAGACGAGGGGGGAAAAAAGAAGCAGACGCACACACACACACACATATGGGCAGGATGGAGTACTTCCTCTGGGAATAACCCACCCAGACTTTGGGTGCGGAAGAAAAATCTTTTCCAGTCCAGCTGCTGAGTGTGTTATAACCAACCGAGTTTACACACCTGGTTCAATAAAGTCTGTAAAACCAGGCTTTGGTCTGAGATTATGCTCAAGACAAGGCGACTGAGAGGATATCCAGTCATGAGTTTTATTTCTCCAACTATTCAAATCAACTCAAAAATAATGAGCAAACATTTGTAAAGGATAGTTCCACAGTTTTCAAAGCCTGTGTTCAGACAATACTAGATGTCAGACATAATCCTCAGTTTTTCAATAGTACAAAAAAGTATTACTTTAGTAGTACTGTAATTCTCTATTCTGTTTCCCCGGCTGTATCCTTGCTCAGAATAATGCAAGAAATTGTGAGAAAATGAGGAAGTCTTGCACAGAAAGCCCATGACGTAACTCCAGAGGTTACTTAATTGTATTGATTTAACTCAGTCAAACGGCTGAAGCAACAAATTAGCTTCAGCTGAATGTCAGAGAGCATGTTTGGACCCATGTATCTGGATTTTCTCCCTTTTGTCTGGACAGGAATGGAAATAAATCCCACGTCTGCAATCCAAGCACTGGTAACACATCGACTAAAAACTTCTCTGGTAATTTTGTTTTAAGATGGACTTTACAAAGAGTGACCCTGTCCTTTATGAAAATCAGACTTCTTTTATGGTAAATTCAGAATTGTGAACTTTTGAGGCAGCAGAGTCACACACACATCCTCAATATTTCATCCTTATATTTTATCTAACCACCACATCAACAATATATCACTCACAGAAGGATTAACGTGTGAAGTCATGTCTTTCAGAGCACATTTTAAGACAATTTATTCTCGTTTAAAGATCTTTAAAACATATTTTACACATTTTTCTTAGGTGGCTTTGGCCAAATCCTTTATTATTGGTCTATTTACTAAAAATGAAAATCTATAATTAGCAGATTAAGCCAAAATTTCAGAATTAGACAACATCTTAGGAATTATGGTTCATTTCTGGCGGCCATTTTGGATTTTCCCCCTTAAAAGGCATTTAATTGGTCTGAATTTTTGTGCACCCCTTCTGAGATGATGAGATACACCCTAAAGAATGTGTGTACCAAATTTGGTGCTTTTATCCACCGCGTAACAATTTGGCCATTTTTTTAGGTTAACAGACCCTACTATTACAGCAGGTTTCCTTTACACTCTGTAGCTGGAACAAAGATACAGCCGCCTCAGTGTTGGTGCCCAAACACTTCGAGTAACATTTTGATGCTATTACCTGCGATTTAATGAGATTCCTGTTTGGACTGGGATGTATGTTTGCTCAGGATGAGGCTATGGGATAATAAAGAGGCTGTTAATGCTGTAAGATTAAAAAAGGGCTCTTTAGGTAATTGTGGGAAATCCCTTTCTTTGGCCTTAAATGCCCCCATATGTTAAGATTGTGAGTGAGCCAAAGCTTAAATGAGTCACTGTGGTAACTTTAAGTATCAAACTCAAACCTGGAGTCAAAGCTTTGTCTTAGCAGTACACAGGCCCGCTCGGTGTGTGTGTCTCTGTTTAGTTGTATACAACACTGTGTTTCCACAGGCGCTGACACGTGGACAGGAGAACGCTTCTGTGGAAATCTCAGAAGAGGGGGAGAGAATTGGAGGGGTGTGTGTGCTCCTTTCCCCTTTAGAAGTGCTAGATTTATAACCCAGTACTGCAGCTGGTTGGCTTTAACCCTTACACTCTCTTGACTCCGACCCCAGAGCTCACCTTGTGATCAAAACAACCTGTTGTTTTTTCAGCGGCCACAGCAGGAGGATATTTAAAACTGTTGATCTTTTACAGCAAAAAAAGTGGAGTTTTACAGCAAAAAGTGGCTGCTCAGGGTGACATGGGAAGGGTTAAAATCTCACCATGGGCTACAGTGCTTCATGCCGTTTTTGAAGGGTTGAATCACTGTACATATATATATATATATATATATATATATATATATATATCAGTGGCGGCTGCTGGTCTTTCAAGGAGGGGAAGCTCATTTTTCTGGCCTACATCATAATTGTGTTTGTTTATTTGTATGTAACAGAGCAGAGTTGCCAAACACAACGGCAGTCGTTTTTAAAAAAGACTAAAGTCGCTGAGGATCGGTATAGTCTCCGGAGCAGTTAAGAACAATGGAATTAATAACTTGGAAAATGCTTTGGTAGATGTTTTATTCTTCAAGATCGCTGATTCGCTTGTTTAGCTGTCAATCAAAAAAGGATTTCGCCTCAGACAGCTTATCCAATCATGGATGCAGAAGCTCAGCGTCCGGGAGAAAGTTGGGACCACTCTCTCGTCATAGAACTCCAGAGACGCTGAGCGTCCGATGGGCGGGACAAAGCCCAGCATTTATCCAATGAGCGTCTAGTTTCGCTGCTGGAACAACCCACTTTGAGCTTCCACATTGAAGTCAGCAGACGCTGAGCGTCCGGCTGTGTGAAGCACTGAGGCGCTGCGAGGATGAATGAGAACGAAGTTGTGCCGGTTACCCGTGATTATCAGCTTCTTATCACACTGTGATAAGAAGCTGATTCTGAACAAAAGTTGAAGGCTTTCTAGCGCATATTTAATTAATGAAATGAACACACAGCAGTACGTATTTCACCACTTTTTCTTTTTTTTGGGGGTTGACATTTTAAGGGAAGCTGAGCTTCCCTTGCAGTCTTAGAGCAATGCCACTGATATATATATATATAGTTTAAAAAAATATCATGAATCGTAAATATGAAGACAAATTGAGGATTAATATTCAGTCAAAATCAAATTAATCCCATTTTTTTGTTTTGTCCAGAGTATATTTGGATATTTTTTCTTTATCTTACTAGTCGGACAATTTTACCTCTGAAGCTCTGTGGGATAACCAGAGAGGCTAATTTCTTAAAACCTTTGTGAGTTTCTGCTTTTGTTACTGGTCCTTTGTCTCTAAATAATGGTTTCTTGCAAGCATATTTCAGTCCTGGTGTATTATTTCTACATGACACAGCTTTTCCCTCTGATCAGTCTGATGTTGGGTGAGTGCAGAGCGTGTACTGTTCTGTGTCAAAAAGCAATGATCTATCATATGAAATGTATGGAAATGTATTCTATTAAACATATTGTTTTGTATGTAACTTTTTGTACTGAATTCTATTCTATCAGATCTTACAATCACGAGATCAAATTAGTCAGTCATCAGCGGTGAGTTAGAATAAGAATACTGAAACACAGTCGGACTAGTTTCTCCTGTGTCTTTTGTAGGGTGTAGAAAGTGACTCTGTAGAGTTGCTTTAATGAAAGGGTTCTCTTTAACACAATGAATCATGGAACAGCAGATATAGTCTCAGATGCAGCCATAAGAAGTTCCTCTTAATCTTCATTCTCTTATCCTCTCATCATTTGCGTTGCTGTGGCTTTTGTTATTCTCATTTCTACTACTTTGTTTTGTTTTGATCAGGAATCTGAAGTTGCCATGGTGCGACTTTTATCTCTCATGCTCCTTTCCAAGAACAACTCGTAACACTCATCTGAACACATGTACGAGAAAAAGGAGAAGTGCATGTGTGTGTGATTAATCTGCACCATTTTGCATCACAGATTCGTCCCCTGTCAACATCAAATGTGTGCAAGACATAAACAGAAATCTATCGTTGACTTGCACAGCTGTTCACACATTATAACAGTTCTTAAATGCTTTCACTGTGTATGTAAGAGACTTGTCTGTAATAGGTTCTTTAGATGTGACTGCTGACTCCAAGAGCCGAGACACTGAATCATCTTCCACAGCTGGCTTCATTTTTATTGGCTGAATGTAAGCCCACCTCCAGAACCCCAACGGACTGTTCCGGTAAGAACAAGCCTCTTTCCAGATCTCACACACACACACACTCACACACACATACACTCTCACACACACACTTTTTCCCAACAGAAGGATGACACCCATGCAGCAAACACTTCTGCTCTATCACACAGCACATGCATGAACATCATGTGCGTATCTGTACGCGTCAGTGACTCTGTGGACCATTACGGGCACAGATAGGTCTCTGTCTTTCATGTGGTAAAGCAGCAGAGCATGTAAATGATCCCTGCTGATTGGCCGAGGCTTTTATCTCCCAACAGGAAGTTCCTGAGGGCTCCAGTCATTAGCCGCTCTGGATCTGTGTTTCATTTGGGGAAAGCCACCAAAAGCACAATACGTCCACACAGCTGAGCTCTTTTACTGAATTTATTTCGCTCAAAGTAACAAAGCATTTACAAACATGTTACCCTCGCCTCGTCGATATGAGAACAAATATGTGATCGCAGCCAAAGAATCATCTCAGCCTCTCGCTCACTGGTCTTTATTTCTGCACTTGTTTTGCTCTTTGGTTTTACACTGTGAACACTTGAGGGGAGTTTTTGTTCAGCATACTCATTGTTAGCACCAATATATCCATCCAAACAACCTTAATTAGTAGAAAACTCTGCGACATAAAGCACTGTTAAAACATTTCACCCTTTTTTTGCCTGACAAAACAAAAGATAACAAAGTGTGTAAGTCCAACCCGCTTTGGTAGCTGTTCAGTGGAGTTTGAAAACACGTAAATGCATAAAAATATAAACTTTAAAAACTTCTTGTAAAAAAAAAAAGAAAGAAAACAGCGAAGGTGATCCCATGTGGAGTGTCAGAAAGTTACCAACACAAATAAAGAAAAGTAGCACTGTACTACAAACTTTACATGTAATATACTTAAAGCACACTATAATAATTTCAAACAGAAACATTATATTGTTCTTATTATGGATATTACATAAATTAACATAAGAAGGGGGTACAGCTCAACAAAGAAAATCCCCTCTACTCATTCTTTGTGTATAAAAGCTTTGGCAAATATCACTTTTTACATCACTGGCACTGCTGTTACATGATAAGAAATGAACACTGTACGATTTTGAGGGTTGCTTCTACTACATTTTCAGACTAGTCGATGGTGAACAAGAAAACAAATAAAAAAGATGTTGTATTGTACCATAAAACTTTATAACACTGTTACAATAAACCAATCGAGGACTATCATTATGGTTTCAAAGGGGAAACAAGATAAAGTAACCATAAAATAATTATTGTATCGAAAATGGACGTGTGCACATTCAGTCAGTATCATCACCCTAGTCAGTCTGCATCAGACCGACTAGTCAGTTCAACCATTTATTTGTATTTGTCTTGTTCTAGGCCCAAAATGCATCATGTATCAAAGCTGTAGATGTAGATGTAGATGTAAATATGCAGGGATGACAGATAGTATCACAGCGTGGCATAGTTTGGCAGTGATTTAATGGAAATGTGTCTTCTCAAACAGAGCAATGCATATTCAGGGTTGAACGCTGGGGGTACTAGCTCTGCTGGTGATAGCCAACTGGAGTTAACCTATCTACCTGTTGACCTTCGGACTCTGTGACCTGTGTCAGTCAAATGCGCTTAATTTTGGGTGTGCCAGCTGACTAATGGTCCCAGTTGAACATCCCAACAACGCATTTCACTTGCCCCTTAAACCGATCCAATATTGAGCCTTCCTAGTACAATTTCGACCTGATCTGAACCACGATTTTAAAGTCAGCATGGAGAATGTTTGATGTTGCTTGATTCTGACACCTAGAGGATTATAATATTGACTTTATATGATAAAAAAACACAGATTCTTTACATTTTAATGGATTTTGACTATCTTTACTCTGTTCTATCTGTCGTTGTTTGTTTAATTTACTCAAAACCAGTTCATTCTTTTTAATAGAAACAAATGGTTCATCGGTGTACTGACTGCAGCTGAGGCTGTGCCGAAGTTTACATGACACTCAAGAAAACCAAATTATCGTCTTACTCCGATTAAGACCGGACAACTGAAGTGCATGTAAACACCTTAGTTTGAGAACTCAGACTGGAGTCGGAGAACTCCGATTAAGACACCCAGATAATGCGATTGGAATTCGATTTTCTCTACCATGTAACCAGCGTAGTCAGAGTATGATCGGATAATGCATGTGCGCCACGCCCCCGTAACCACGTAACAAAAACACCAGAGAAGAGGAGTAGCGTGCATCTCATCTGCAGAAAAAGTAGCGTGTACATCATGTATGACAAAAACAAAGCTCTACGATGCTCCATCTTTTTGCTCGAAAATGCCCAGCAGTTTTAGACACTTCTGACGTCTGACACAAACCTGCTGTTGTTGTTGACGGTTGTATGGGGTCGGAAACAGCGCCGCTAAAAAGATCCGTATCGCCTCCTAGTTTTGGGGAGGAGGACACGCTCAATTTTCTCAGCTGCATGTATACGCGGACGAGGAGAGTAATCCAATTCAGCGAAAAAAATGAATTATGAGTTCAGTCCGATTAAGCTGTGCATGTAAACGCACTGACTGATACATGTTCAGTCGTAACTCCATGGTTAGCAACCACAGATTTGGAAGTGAGATGTAAACTTAACACATTGGGGACCGGGGCTTGTTGTCACATTGCAATTATCTTTGCCACCAGGGGGCGCAACTAAAAAGTGGAATACTAGTTTTCTTCCTTTATATGGTTAGGGGTCGTGTACTATCTGAGAGGAGAACATTGTGAGCTGAGATGAGCGCCAAATAACCATTTTGCACAACCTAAAGTAAAAAAAAATTTAACTTTATATCTTTAAAATAAGCTTCTTCCAGATTAAAATCCTCGCAGTGATACATGTGGACTTGTTAGAGGAAAGATTATGGCATCCTGTCAGACCTCAGTCATTGTTCTGTTTAAAGCTAACTTTAAAATAGAGCTTTAATTAGCAGACATGGTCGTTTGGGGCAACATGTCTCAGTCATTTGGGGTTAGTTGTCGCATGTTTAAAATGGATTTAAAATTAACACAGAGAGTCTGTTTATCAGCAGTTGACATATTGAAACTTTAAAAGAGTGGTTTAAAGGGGAAAAGAAAGTGAGAGGACGTGGTCAGGAATTTCAACAGAAAAACAGTTGCATAATATTTGATGTTAACGTTCGTTTAATGACTTTTTCTTGCTCAATGATAAACATTTCCTGTGCCTGATTTTGACGCTCACTTTCATGTGAAAAAAAATGGGAACAACACTATTTATGTCCTTGTTTTAGTAGCTGCAAAATCCCCATGTGGTGAGACAACTTACCCAATGGTAGGGCAACATGTCACATGTTCACACTCTCTGTTTGATCGCTTATAACTCTGCACTGACACATGATATGAAAATGACATGAAAACGAAATATATACCTGAGACTTTGGTCTTTCATCTGGTACACATTTAGTTTATATATGATGCATTGATACCAAGAAATATATGAGTGTGACAACAAGCTCCGGTCTCCCCTACTGAACTTTGAGGGCATATAACAAAACCACTAAGCAGAGAAAAAGGCCTATTTTGGTGGACTGACTGTAAGGCACAGATGTTTTTAATGTAAAAAGCTGTAGACTAAAAAAGAGATAAACCTGCTGAGTTTGAATACAGTGAAGTTAACTATTCCTCATCTTGCTGTGGATATAAAGCCCCATTATCCCCTCCTCTCCCTCCCTGTTGTCACCCCCTCCATCCATCATCAGATGACCGTCTGTTGCCTTCGACACTTCCTGCACGCTCCATAAATAACAGACAGGAGGTAAACCAGGCAGCAGAGGCAGGCGAACACGGCGGCCGTCAGGTAGACCTTGTACAGACACATGTGCTTGTACAGCTCCAGGTTGCAGTACGAGTAGCGATCCGTCTTGTAGATCATGACCCCGATGGCCGGGAGGTAGAGCACCGCTGCGGCCACATCATGCGCCAGATTCGTGCACAACCAGCGCTCCCCTCCGAGCAGCGGGACCAGGTCCTGCTTCTCCAGGAGGGTGATGAAGAAGAGGGCGAGGGTGAGGAGCCAGAACAGGACCGCCACGAACAGGACAAAGTGAATGGATCCTTCGTACTTGTTGGCGGCGATGGTGATCCAAAGTCCGGCTCCGAACACGATCTGCAGGATCCGGATGATTCCCAGGAAACTCTTGAGGAACTTCAGGATATTCTTCCTCACCTGCGGCGTCTGTGGAGCTTGGGGTGTCATCTCTCTCTCTCTCCTCCTCCGGTCACTCTCGGTCCCTTTTTCCCCCAAACAGGGCGGGTGCTTCGTGCCAGCTGCAAACAGCTGGGGAAAACAGGAGCAAAGCGTGGAAATAAGCGGAGAGGAAGTCCGGGTTTGGGAGTGAAACGATGGAGCCAAAAGTTGACAAGTTTAGCTTTAAAGAAAGGAACTCTCTGTTCTTTCCACAGCCCCGGGGTTTTGAAATGAAAAAGCTTCTTGGATGTTTCGTCTTTTCCGTTTCCTCTGGTGAATGTAGCGTCTGTTTTGGGGGGGCTGGGTGATGGAGAAGAGGGGCGGCCCGTAACTCAAAGCCTCCTCCTCCTCCTCCTCCTCCTCTGGACTGATTCATCCACGGCCATTCATCCAACTTCCAGAGAAGAGTTTCCCCCGGGGACTGCAACCTTGATTCTTCTGAATTTACAGACAGACAAGGACAGAAATGGAGATGCCAGGGGTGTGTCCAGACTTTTTGTTGACTGGGGTGGCCGACTTTGGGCACCGACTTCAGTGTGTTTGATGTTTAAAAAGTCAGTTTAAAGGGATATTCCGGCATAAAATTAATTTAGGGTCAAACACACCGAGTTAGACACCCCCTTGAGAGATTAATGTTGCCAACCGCTTGCTTCTCTAGTTATACCAACTTTAGTAACAACTGCACGCTAGCAATACAGAGAACCATGCGCTCAACCAAAACGCCACTCTAGACTAATTTCTTTTGCAAAGGGACTAAACACAACTCACCTAATCTCTTCCAGCGGCTGTTTGTTTGTAGTGGGACCCCAGGCCAGTCCATTACAGACTACAGTGGGGTGACACAGCTCAAGGAAGAACATTTATGATCATTTCTTCATGGAAACACAATCAGACTGAGACGCTAAGGCAGAAGAACTACTGTGTCTGCAGAACAAAATGATTAATATGATGATTTTTACTTAAAGGAAATGATAAAGAAATGATCATAAATGTTCTTCCTTGAGCTGCGTCACCCCGCATCAGTCCGTAATGGACTGGCCTGAGGTCTCGCTACAAACAAGCGGCCGCTGGAAGAGACTAGGTGAGTTGTGTTTAGTCTCTTTGCTAAAGAAAATAGTCAAAGTTAAAAAGATGTTTGGTGTCTAGTACTATGTCTAGGACCCTATATGTCCTGTTGATGAAGTTAGGTGCTGTTCTGAACATTATTTGTGGCTATAGAGTGGCGTTTTGGTTGAGGTTTGTTTATGGCTCCTCAGACCGCTGTGTATTGCTATCCTGCGGTCGTTACTAAAGTTGGTAGAACTAGAGAAGCAAGCGGTCGGCAACATTAATCTCTCGACGGGGTGTCTAACTCGGTTTTACGGTGTGTGTTTGACCCTAAATTAATTTTAAGCCGGAATATCTCTTCAACCAACCTTTTACAGGAGCTTAAACTTATCAGCCTTTTTAGTCAGGGTCAGGATAAAATGAAAACATATGAAAATCATGGATATTCTTGAAGTTCAATAATCCAATCCAAAAGTTTTACTCATTTATATATATATACATATATTTGTTTTTTTGTTTTTGTTTTTTTGCAAAACTATTAAATCTTTAAATGGAGAAAACAATTGAGAAACTGAACAAATATAACAGATCTTTATTTTCCCCTCAAACCTGAAACTGATATTATACTGGGTAGATTATTTTTGATTTATTGTATTTTATGAAGAACTATATTGCATTTTCTCTATCAGTCTCCTTATGTATAGAACAAAGATAACTCCTTTGTCACCAAAATAGAAAAAACGAGGGACAAACGTGAGACAGGAGACAAGAAAACTTTTAAAGACAAACTTGTTCATTCTCAGACTACCTCAGTATTTCTGTGTTTTTGTTTGATTTATCGTCCTCATTTGGTGGAGACGGTGTAACTGAACGTCCTCCTGTTACTGTGGAGCTCATTCTGCGTCACTCTGTGTGCGTCCCTCTGTGGCCCCTCCCCTCTCACACAATCGACAGACGCCTCTCGTGCCTGCCAGGCTCTTTGACGTCAGTAATGGATTTCAGCGCGCACAGCCCTACGTGGCCAAGAGGCGGAGCCAAGTACCACCTCCTCTAACACATGATTGGTCGATGTAGAGGTTTAAGAGGCGGAGACTGAGGCGTTCTCTTCGCTCATTGGTCCTTTTACAGCACTGATGTGTGATTGACAGGCGTCTCAAGGACAGAAATGGAGTGCAGGTGATCCTGGATAACAGTTTTCCAGCGTACATTCAGCCATTGTTGCTGCTTTCATTGAAACATTTCGACACTAAATGGAAATGCTGTAAGAGACACAGTATCCGGAATATCTCATTGAATCCTCTGGTGAGTATTTTGTGTTTTTCTTCCTCACATGACTGTCACGGGATTCCTGTTTAGCCTAGTCTTATGATAGGAAGCATGGACTCTTCAGTATGCTAAGTCAAAGGACCATGAATTTTCTAGAAATCGGGATTTTATCGTATTTTAAGTAGATGTGTTAAAGAGGTAATCCCTTATGCAAACAACAGACTGTAAACAAACCGGTGGGAGGGCGATAATTGAGCAGCATGTGACATTTCGTCAATGTTAACCTACTTCAATGCAAGTAAATAGGTCTGATTGTGTAAGCGTTTCTGGGTCCTATATTGATTATAGTATTGGTGCAAAAAGATTCACAGTTCTGTCCTTAAATGACCCTTTTTTAGTGGGTAATGCACAGTATAAGTTACATTGTAACGAAGGAGAGATGGGCAAAATATTAGGAACACCAAACACCCACTTTTACTTCAACACTTGATTTAAAACAGCATTTTAACACCGATCTAATCGTGTCTACAGAAACTCAACATGATCAGACAGGTAATTATTGTACTCAATTATTGAAGACATAAATGTGAAGTGCTGTGTGTTTCACTGAAAAGTTGCTGTTCCTAATATTTTGTCCTTTTCATTGACTGACAAGGAGATGGGCAAAATATTAGGCACACAAACACCCTCTTTTTACTTTTAATAATTGAGTTAAAAGAGCATTTTCACACCTATCTTACCATGTGTACAGAAAATGAATCTGTAAAAGTGATACTGACTAATGGAAGACATGGATGTGAAGTGCAGTGTGTAATACTGAAATGTTGGTGTTCCTTATATTTTGTCCTTTTTATTGACAAACAAGGAGATGGGCAAAATATTAGGAACACTGTCAATATAACGCGCTCCAGGGCACCACCAACACCCACTTTTACTTCAATAATTGATTTAAAAGAGCATTTTAACACCTATCTAACTATGTCTACAGAAAGTGAATCTATAGAAGTGTTACAAAAGTGGAATTTGTGTTAGAGTTGTTGTATTGGGTTGCCCAGGTGTTTGTTTGTTATGGCTGGTCTGTGTATGTTGACCTCTCACCAACCCAAAGATTAAAGGATTAAAAAAAAAAAAAGATGTCACAAGCAGAAAGCACATGTCACCTGGAACCTTTAAACTGTCAGATCAGTTATAATTTATTTAAAAACTATCTTTAGATTATAAAATAATAGCACAGTGTAGACCCACTTAAATTTGGATACCACAGCTGTCGCCAAAAAAAATGCTCAAAGATTGTATATTCACAGAAATCCTATAATTAGCCTCCAATATATTTATCTATGGATACACAATACTGGTTTAACAACTCAATAAGAAGCTATTTTATGATATTCACAATTCAGCTTTCAGCACTACTTTAATATAAACCTCAATGGACCAGCCCTAATAAGAAAAATGCTGCTGTAAGACTCACTGGAGCACACAAACAGTTCGTCCTTGTTGTTGAAAGTGTAAATACAGGCAGAGACTAATGTTTTGATATCACAGTCAATGGTGGACAAAGACATGACACTGGCACTCTAACTCTGAGATTTACTGAATCAGCAAGCTGAATCAGCTCATGTTAAGCTAAAACACCCCAGCTCCTTGTCATAAGAGCTCTATTTTTCCTGAAGAAGCTCTGGTATTGCGTGTAGGATATGTTTTATAGTTTCAGTTATTTCTGCCTTTTCCTCTAGAGACCTATCAAATATAAAAACATCTTTAAAGTGCCATCAGCTTCACAAATCTAAATGTGTAACAAGAAGATTTGGACCTCTGGGAAAGAGAGGACTTATTTAAGGAGGGGATAATTTTGAATTGAGAAACAGAAGGTCTGATAAAATGATCCTAACCCCTCTCAATCCATCACATGTTCTGCTATTTAAAGCCTCAAACAAATCCAGTAAGCACACACTAAGATTATTTAGCCAACTCTACAGGGTTGTTCCAGAGGAAATGCTCCTGACACACATATAGTTCCTGATCTTTGTTGCTCACTTAATACCTGTCTGTTAGTGTCCCACTTCAAACTGTATCTGAGGGAGGACAGATGAAGTTGCCATCTGCAGTTTAATGGGCTTTAAAGCAGAGACTCGTCACTCACTTCCTAAAGAAGGATTAAAGAATCAGAGCAGAGGAGTTGAAGCCGAGCAGCAGTGTGTTAACAGTAGGTGTTGTGACGCAGTTGTAAACCTTTGGTAAACAAGCACATGTGTTCAGTGAGGTATTTCTGATGAAGTATTTGTGGATATGACACATTCTGGGACTTTACAGGGACTTTAATATGTTTATCAGTCTGCTTCAGCATCCAAGAGTACAGACAGGGTCTTTGTTTGGATGGAAAAAGCCGGTAAATCAGACGTTCAAAGATGCAAAATATTTTCAGTCCTACTCAAATTCTGAAGGAGTCCTTTTTAATTTGTTTTGCTTACAACTTTTGACCTTTTAGAAGCCACTCACAAGAATTTAAGTATCACACTCGAGGCTAATTTATCTTATCAAAACATCAGCAGGTCTGCGATTATTTGCGGTACACTGTGTACAGTTGTGCTGACATTCAATAAAACATTACCCCCTCTCTTGTAATTTTGCTTTGCTGCGCAAAAATGATTTCCTGCACTCTTCCATGAGTGCTGATACAAAATAACTATGTGTATCTCTCAACATAGAGTCCTCTGAAAGCATATCGTGCAAATGCATTGCCCTCTGAAACTTGTGGACACAGGCTTTATTCAAGTTGTGTAGTTACAGTTTTTGTCTCGATTGAATATTCTGAATATCTTTAAAATACAAACAATCAATGTTTGTATGAAGACATACTCATCAGAACCTTATTTTACTAGTTAAACAGACGTGCACAAGACAAAGTAGCAGAAAAGGTGCAGAAAAAAAGATGAAACATCTCATGACGGGTGATGTTTGAAGCTTTAAAGACTTAAAATATAGGCTACTCATTCAAACATGTTCACATCTGTGATATATGTGCAAATACAAGAAATTAATACTTTTTAATTGCTGATTTATTTGCAACAAACTTTAACTCAAGTATAAAGATTGCAGTGCAGTAAATCTGAACAAGAGTAGCTGGATATATCAATCAATTAATCAATCAATCAATCAGTCTTTATTTGTTTAGCACTTTTCATACAAAACCTTTACATAGCAGAGGAATAAAAGAAACAAAGAATACCCTGATGTACCCCAGCCCAACCCCTCATTCCTACCCCGCAATCTAAGAACAACAGAAACAGGATTAAAATGCATGAACTTAAAAAGGGCGCGATTATATAGAAACAGGAAAGTGGAAAGTGCACACTGAGGAAATGCCATCTTAAAACACTGGAGGTTTATGTTAAAATCTAAAAACAAAGTAACGTAAAATGAAATTCAAGAAATAATAAATGAAATGAAATAAAAACAACAGTAAAAGATACTAAGAGCACCAAAATAGCCCAATAAAAGATTATCCTGTCATTAAAACTAGAGGAGATAAATGCTAAAACACTTAATGTTAATGATATAAAAATTAGTTAAAAGCAAATCTAAAAAGGAATGTTTTGAGTTTGCTTTTAAAATATGGAAGTATATTTCATAATGTAGAGAATTGTCAGATTTTTATTTCTTAGTAATTGTATGAATATCAGAGAGGCAGATTGGTGTAGATTAGGGCTGAACAATTTATCAAATTTTTATCAGAATCACAACTTTCAAGGATTCAAGGAATCTTTATTGTCCCTGTGGGGCAAATCGCTTTACAGCCAGCAGTGCCACAAACAGACATAAGACAACTAGCACAACAATAAATCAACAAAAAATGATAAAACAGAGAGACTAAAAACAATCACTTGTTTAAAAGACCTATGGCGGCAGGGATAAGAGAGTTGTTCAGTCTGTTTATCCTACATCTAGGCAGGACGTACCTGCGGCCTTTCCAATGTCAAAGAGTTGTGATTACCAGCAATAATGGGTGAGGAGTGCAATTGTGTTGATGAAGCAGAGGGATAGAGTGAGCAAAACCTTTGATTTAATATCTTTGGATCTTAAATTTCGATACTAAATCAAAGGTAAAAGGTTAGACACAGAATACCCATCTCTCTAAAACAAACTCAAAGCAGGAAAAAGAGTTGTCCCTGAAGTTGATTGTTGTGATAAATAATCTTGATGTGTGATTTTGTTTTCAACAATACACATTTTTCACTTTTATAATGTCATAATGTGTGTATTTTCTCCCTGGCTTCTCTCCTCAGTGAGTGGCCAGTGTATGTCACCTTTTCCCGTGTTTCTCCGGATGGACACCGGGCCCGCCCCCCCTCCTCCGACCTCCATGGTGGCAGGTCCGTCCTCGCTTTGGCGGCTGGCTGAGAGGAGGAGCAGAAAAGCCGGCTCGGGTAACATTTTCAGCAGTGTGAATCTGTGGCAGCTCCAGAGACTGTTCAGAGCAGCGGGGGACCAGGATGCCGAGCAGAGGGCCCAGCTGGTTTGGGGCCACGGTGACGAGGCAGAACTGGCGCAGGCTTTGATAGGGCTGAGGGCCAGGAGCCACAGGAGGGGGCTGAGGAATAACGGCAGAGACGTACTGGGCTCACACTGGCTACGAGCCTTCAATCACCTCAAGTAGGAAACCTGAAATGATTCCACATTCATTCCTAACAATAAACAATGACTCGTCTTTATGTGGTTTTTTTAACAAAATGATTCATGTGCAGGATCGGGGAGAGCTCGCCGAGCAGCCAGGGGAAGGACACCGCGGAGGAGAGCGAATCTGAGGCAGGCGGCAGCCCGGAGCCTCACAGACACACCTCTGTAGGAACTACAGGAAGAAGTACAGGAGCCAGGGTGGGACTGACTGAGACTCAGGGTCCTGGAGGGACGTCTGAAAGACCAGCGAGAGGCTCAGGACTGAGGAGGGGAGGGGAGAATAACCCAGAGAGATACCTCCACAGAATACTCCACTGACCTCAGGGCCGGTCTGCACAACTCTTCTGAAAAACACTAGAGATATACTGATTAACTTTACATCTCAACCAACACCTCCACAATTACAAGTGATATTGTAGTTCTGGACTGAAGAGACACATACTGGTCTCTTATGGCGTTGATCAAATGTAGTTTTCAGGGACACATATCTCCATCTGTGTGACATTCAAGGCAGCACAAACCTCTGACTGGCTCCTGGTAGAACTCAGATTTAAAGCGTTTACACATTTTACATTTCATCCTTTTTATGAACAAATACAAGCAGCCCAAGAAACAAGCATCTGTAACCTGAAATCAGTCGATCACACAGAGTTTTAGTCTGAATTATTAAAATGTCTGTGTCCAGTTCCACTCTAAAGTTTGGGACTTTTTGTTACAAACAGAATAAAACCCATTTTATTTAGTAGCTTTTAACATGACAAGTCTTATAGAGGCGTGAGTGCTGACACTTATTTTCACGGTTTCCACTCAAAAGCTGCCTTATGTTCGTTTTTTATAACTCCTAACATTTACACCTAACTTGCTTCCTGTTAAGAACAGACAGTGATGTGATTTCAGCTGTTTTCACGCCCACTTCGAGGACAACAAAAGCCATATATGATGTGTTTAAGACAATGAATGTGTATTAGCCTCATTTGCATTCATGCTATAAGAAATTTAGTGTTGAACTTCTCCACCCACGATTGTTATATTCATTAAAAACACTATTAATAAAAGTGCAGTAGTGAGGAGGACTGTTATTAATACCAGACCGACACGCCACTGCATGTTTGGAGGTGTCGGCTCAACCTCAATGATTCAGATGATTCAGGATTTCTGCCAGGAGCTAAAGCCAGTCACTGGTTTGTTGTTATTCGAAGCGAAGAGTCACATGGTCAAACTCTGCCTAGAAAAAACAAAAATCAAAAGTTACAGCTGCAAGGCCAAACACACACACACACACCTCAGTTTGCAGGGTCAGAAATCCAAAATGTTCTCGTGAAAACCTTCAGGGTAACGGTGTGAAAACTCACTGTGCCTGTGAAAGACTGTCACCCCAAGGTTGTCATGTTGCTGGAGACTTTATGTACTTTTTTCACAACACTGTTTTGATGTGTACTTTGACAATGTCGTATATTAAAAGGAGTCTTTGTACTTTGTCATTTTTCGGGGTTTTTTTGGAGACAATTTTTCAATCGATGAAACACAGTTGCTTCCTTAAGTATAACACAGAGGCACTAAAATGGCTCATGCAAGGAGGAACCTCATCAGAAACAAAAACTAGAAACCAAATGGGCTTTTGAGGCGAATTGATTACACGCTAAATGAAATGAATCGAAAACCACTGGCATCTTTGAGTTTCTTTACCCATGAGTAGAAAAATAATAAATCTTTACACATGATAAATTATGTCAATACAGTTAAAAGTTAGCTGGACTTGTGATGCCTTAAAATAAGATGCTTGTCAAGTGAATGTAGATTATTTTAAGTCCAATAAATTTAATGTGAAATGATACAAAAGCACTTAAGTTTTACTTACTAAACGGGATATTCCAGCGTAAAATTGATTTTGGGTCAAACACACCATAACACCGAGTTAGACACCCCCTCGAGAGATGAATGTTGCCGACCGCTTGCTTCTCTAGTTATAACAACTTAAGTAACGACCCTAGGACCCTATATGTACTGTTGATGAAGTTAGGTGCTGTTCTGAGCATTATTTGTGGCTATAGAGTGGTGTTTTGGTTGAGGTTTGTTTATGGCTCCTCAGACCACTGTGTATTGCTATCCTGCGGTCGTTACTAAAGTTGGTATAACTAGAGAAGCAAGCGGTCGGCAACATTCATCTCTCAAGGGGGTGTCTAACTCGGTGTTACAGTGTGTTTGACCCTAAATTAATTTTATGGCGGAATATCCCTTTAACTTAATCTTGCACAGTGAGAACAAAATTTAAATTTCCCTTTGGGAGTCAATAAACTTTTTCTTCTTCTTAAAAACAGCCATCTGTACATCCTTGTGTTACAATGGTGAAAATACACACTATTTTTTATGACATGATAGGACATTACCCTACTCAGATTATCTCAGTTTTCCCTCTAGTTCTTTGTTGTGTACTTACAGTTCACACACATGTGCATCCAGGATCGACAGCTTTCAGCAACAGTCCACCACTGAGCAGCTGTGCTGGACCAGTTGGATGTTAAGTGCCTCGCTCTGAGCCCCATGAATGATATTCTCTGATAAATTGCACACCATTACACTCTGTGTCCCCATGCATGCTGTTCGGGTGAGTCTAATTACTGGGCTTATGGTGAAAAAGCTGTTAAACCTTCAAACTGAGAGCCCTAAGCCTGCAGAGTATGTAATAAATGTACTGCGCCTCATTCACAAAATGACATTAAACACTTATAACCAAACACCGCCCTCTAGTGGGCACTTTTCAGTCACAATGGCATCCCTGCAACCACTAGATGGCACTAAAGGTTCAGTTTTGTAAGGGGGAAGCACAGCACAGAGTCAGGATAGTCATACTTGACATGCATGGTGCAGATTTGGCCTCAGAAAACTTGTAAAATTCAGAGAGTGTTAGTGTTCGCTTAAAGGGCAAACTCACTGAACAGACAAATAGGTATTCTTGTTGATTCTATCCTGTCATGTTTAACTTGTCATTTCATCCAAGTACATCAAATACACTTTGTGATAGCTCACAGGTTTTCATCTCTAATGCAAATGTACAAACCCTCAGGCACTGTCATGTGATAAGAGAAGAGCAGACCGGACTACACAGACCTGCTGTCTGTCACCGCACCTGCTGTCTTTTTAAACTCTTTAATTATAACGATGCTTTTAATTTCGGACTCATCTTCATCAAAAGCATCTGCAGCTCGGTCATAAACAGAGAATCTGTACAGAGTAGATAAAAATACGCAGGAAGGGTTTTATCTTTTAAATAACCCAAAACATTGGATGTTCTGACTGGGATTACCCAGAATCCACCAGATGTCCTCCTTTCTGGCAGTTACCTCCAGCTCCTCCTGGGGGATGCCGACACATTCACAGTTCACCCAGAGGATGAAGGTCTTCCTGTGCGACACCAGACTGAGGCATTCAGGGCAGCTTTGTCTCCGTCAGTGCAGAGAGGGCGGCAGTTTAGGATAAGCCGCCATTTGCTGAGTGTCTCACCTTGTTGTGTAAAATACGCTCATTGCACAGAAAAGCTCATTTTAGTGCCTGTATAGGTTATCTCAACATTTCATACCCTCCATAAAGCTCACGACTGCAGATGAGATGTAGAGTGATGATCCAGCAATAACAGAGCTCAGCTACAGTGAGTGGCTCAGCTCATTCTTTATGGTCAGTGATGGGAAGTATATCTGCAGGAGTGTATCCATATTATGCTATTTTATTCTTTTATTTTTCTGCTTTAGTCATAAATATTCTTTAAACCCCACATTTGTTTGACGGGGTAAAAAAATCTGCTTGAAAAACATCTTAAGGGCTAAAATATGTTTGCAAAAAGCTGGAGTTTTTTGGAGTGAGTTGATTGCTTATATTTATTTTAATGTGACATGAAAGTAGTTCCTGAAACGACAGAAGGGGTGTGTCCAAAAGGGCACCCAGGGGTGACAGCAGTGGTGGCCCAAAGCAATTTGGTGCCCCAGGTAAGATTTTTCCTGGAGCCCTGTGGCCGTAATCATGGTGTGCGACGCATTCGCCATGCAGGGAGCTTGACTATGTGGCTAAATGTCTCCAGGGGTGAAAGTAGGATGAGGTTCTTGTAGGTACTGTACTTGTAGGCTTTGTACAAGAGGAGCACACCCACAAGTTTAATGAGGTGCTGACTCTGATGCCACAGTTTCATCATCTGCTACATCTCTCTTTCTCTTGAACATAAAGTCAATTTTTCTCTGCATTTTAAAATATATATATATATATATATATATATATATATATATATATATATATATATATATATATATATATGCATGCATGCTATAATTACGCACACTGTTTGCCAATGGAGACCGACATCTGTGCATGGCAGCCATCTTGCTTCAGGCAACTCGCCCACATTACAGTCTACGGTGCATGTAGCATTTAAATTACCATAGATTGCTACATTTTAAACCAATTTTCAAACGGTTTGGTTTGTAAAAGACCTCAGAGTTTTAGTTATGTTCCTGTATACTCAAGAATAATTTTAACGGTGGATTTTCATAAATAAACATTAAGCAGATAGGTAGAGCAATAGCTATAGACCTACAAGCACAAGGCAGTTATATTAAATCGTTTATATAGATAACATTTAATCATTCCATGTATGTTATGTTATTAATATTTCTATTTCTATTAATTTTTTCTATTATAGGGACAACTAAATATTTATTTTCAGTATATATTTCTGCCTAATGTTGCCATTTTAGATGTTTTTAACAAACCAAACAGTTTGGAAATCATGTGCAACTTAAGTTATGTTGAGCCTGTAAGCCAAGTTAGACAGCTGATGAAAACAAGCACATCCACAAAGACTGTCATTGAGACAGAGCGACTCAAAAGTTAGCCCTTGCGCGCAAATAGCCGTGAAACAACTGTGCTGCGTGATTAAGTCTTTTTTCTCAAAGTAAAGCTGCCATTTCAATATGTCCAAGAAGCCCGTTCAATAGCCACGTTATTAAAGTATGTAATAATCCAAACCGTTTTGAAATCTGTCGAGATTTCAGCGAGTTAAGAGTATTTTTGATCATGCTATTTACTCACCTTCTGTTAGCTACCACACAATGTACCAGAATCGTATACTGGAGTAAGATGGCCGCCGTGTACAGACGCCGGTGATTCATCTAGCCTTTCCTATATATATCTATGGCTCCAACTTCCCAGAGTTCGTTTGTTTGCGGAAGCAAATACGACTCACTCGCGAGCAGCGTGGTCCTGTTGGATTACTACAGTTACAGTGCAGAGTGCAGACTGGCATGCGGCAACACGGTAAGCAAATGTAGCCTACAAACAATGCAGGGGTGAAAGTTTGCTTACCGCTGCGCACTGACTGTTAACTGCTGTTTATGTCTTCCCCGAACGGCTGCGTACCGGCTAACTTTCACCCCTGAATGTCTCGCACACATTTGGAATAAACCAAAAAACAGTCCAGCTGCAGGGGTGTTCGCTGTGATGACCCAAATGTAATAGTCTGAACTTGCAAATTTAATTCAGTTGTCGAAAACTACCTTTCAAACACTTTTTGGATTAATTTTGGATTTTGCTTAAAACATTTTGATTTAAAGTTGAGTATTTTTTTCCACATTGTTGTCCTGGTGTTTGTATTTGAACAGAAAACCTGAATATTTCCTCGACTGTTTGTGGTAATCGGGTTTGTTGATCTCCGTTAGATAAGACCAAAAACTAATATTGGATTTAAGATGCTATCAACCAACAGACTGAATATGAAAATGTAAAATTTGGTGGCTGTGAGTTTTTCCTGCATGTAGCATCCTCCTGCAGATTCTGACTATACAGTGTTTGAGATATTGAAGTCTTACTCCTCAATTTCAGCCTGTGAAAGTAAAACTGCAAGGAGCCTAGATGCCAAACACAAACACTGTCTCGCTGTTGCATGACCCGTGAGTGTTTGACTGAAATGAGATGACTTACAGGCAGGTATGGAGGCACAAACAAACTGAAAGGAAGACACAGGCTTGTGGGTAGGTCAGCAGGTTCAGTATTCAAGGATCAAAACTTGAAAGTAAAGCAGGAACATACACAGCAGCAACAGCATCAGGTGGCTACGAAACAATGAAAATAGTCTGGTGTAACAGAGACGGGGAATCCGGAGGGGATTTGAGACAGACAGAAGACTTTGAGAAAGACGGCCAGAACAGTAACTTCAGACATGCTGGTGCCATAGACTGTATATACTATGGACAACTTTTTTTCACTTTCTGCCGGTATACAGATTTAAAGTTGAAAAGATTTATGACCTATACTGCAGTAGCATTCTGCTCATTCGGCGGGAGAGTCGCTGAGATGACGCTCGGCTCAGACAGTGTATCCCCCAGGTGGCGATATTTTTTTTCACAGGATGGTAGGGGAAGGTCCCGCCTCCTTCGCCTCTGATTGGCTGTGAAACGTCATTTATATATCAATTATATTCTGTGTAATTAATTTCTAAAGTTTGTACAAAGCTCTATAAAATTTACTGGAGAAGGCGGGATTTATGACCTATACTGCAGCCCGTCACCAGAGGGTGCTGTTCTCGCAGTGGCTTCTCCCAGCGAGGAGGCAGACGGCGTCCATTCTATATACAGTCTATGGTTGGTGCTCCGTGATGATCTGTCTATATGAGGCACGATGACATGAAAACTTTAGGTGTCATTAGATTTGAGGACTAAAATCTGGGTTAAATTTTGACAGTGTTGCAGACTAAATCTAGTCTGGTGGTCTTTTGTACTCGCAGCAATTATAGCTCTGTGCACAGCAGCAGGGTGGTGGCAAACTGAGATTCCTTTGTGGTACATTGTTGCCTCTCAGGCAACATGCACATCTAAGCAGTTTTTCTGAGTTATGTGCATATAAATGAACGTCTTTTTGCCTCCAAAACTATGAGCCCAATTTAGCTGTTAATGAAAATGACAGAGGCTGGCTTTTTCTGAGGATCAGTTTTATAAATGGCATGTATTTCTGGCACTCATTATTCAGCGCTCCCTGGTACAAAGTTGTCCCTTTTTTTTCAACCAAAGTAGATAAAAATAAACCAAATAAAGCATTTGAAGGAGCCGATTCTCTCTTTTCTTACTCGTCCCTTTTAATAAACTGACATAACACCCTCGTTTTCTCCAGTTATGCAGGAAATGTATGCATCCACTGCCCATTCATTAACTGTCCAGAAATGAGACGTGCTCAGAACTGTGCCACCACTTTCAGTGAGTTTGTT